AGCCTTATCACTTGGAGTACAGCCCCTCTCCTCCACATACAATACTCCTCCCTATCTTGTAAGAGCTCCAGCCTTATCACTTGGAGTACAGCCCCTCTCCTCCACATACAATACTCCTCCCTATCTTGTAAGAGCTCCAGCCTTATCACTTGGAGTACAGCCCCTCTCCTACACATACAGTACTCCTCCCTAACCTGATAACCTTATCAAGAACAAACCAGTTCACACTATAGCGAGCCTCTAGTCAGCACCGAACCGCTTGGAAATTATGTTTGAAAAAGTATAGTGGAGTGAGGCTTATATAAAAGGATCACTTTGCTCATGAATAATATATATCATATTTTTCTCTCTCAATTAAATGTCCCACAGTAAGTATTGGCATTTCATCACTTGTACCAATTGTACATCATTACAGGATACTACTGTCACACCTGTAAAACACCTGTGGTACAAACCCAGGTATTGCAAGATATGGAAGGGCACATGCATATCATTTATGTTCTTAGAAAATTTATGAAAGACCATTTTATTTCAATGCAACAAATTTGCAGAAACAAATATTATTTTTACATGTTAAATAACAAAATAAATTGATTTTACACTGAAAGGTATTCCAAGTCACAGACAAAACATACAATTTATAAAAAATGAGATTTCTACATAAAGCTAGTACATCAGACAGTTGGCAGTCCCACAGCTACAAAACTGGTTTACCAGACAGTCACATGACATGTATTAAACAATTATAAATACAAACTGGTCACCAGATAAAGTCACATGACAGGCTACAAATGTCAACACATAACTGATTACCAGACAAAGTCACATGATCAGGTTACGAATGTCAGTACACAAAAAGCATCCTAATGCCAGGTTATGGGATACGTAAGTTCATTTCATATCAAGTTAATGAAGTCAGTGTGTCATATAACCATTTAATTAGGTCAGTATGTCATATAACCATTTAATTAGGTCAGTAACACATAACTCATTATGTTCTAAAACTAGGTTATGAGATGTGTAGGTCATATAACCAGGTCATTAGGTCAATATGTCATATCCAGGAAAATAGGTCAGTGTGTCATATAACCAGGTCATTAGGTCAGTATGTCATAGTCAGGTAAAGAGGTCAGTGTAACATATAACCAGGTCATTAGGTCAGTATGTCATATCCAGGAAAATAGGTCAGTGTGTCATATAACCAGGTCATTAGGTCAGTATGTCATAGCCAGATAAAGTGGTCAGATGTCATATAATAAGGTGATACCAATAAGGTAAGTGTATTATAACGAATTTATGAGATAATGTCGCATAACTAGGTAAGGAGGTTGTTATGGCTTATAACTAGGTAATTAGGTCAGTGTAACATGGAAAAGGTCAGTATGTCATATAACTAGGTAATGAATTAATTATGTCATATAACCAGGTAATGAGGTCAGTATGCCATAGCCAGGTAATGAGATCAGAATATCATATAAATAGGTAAGGGGGTCATAATGTCTTGTAACTAGGTAATTTGGCCAGTGTTGCATAACTCGGTATGTCATAGAACTAGGTTATGAGATGTGTATGTCAAATAGCCAGGTATTAAGTTCAATATGTCATATAAGCAGGGAATGGGGTCAGTACGTCACATAACCAGGTAATTAGGTAAGTATGTCACATAATCAGGTTATAAGGTAAGAATGTCATATAACCATGTTAGGAGGTCAGTTTGTCATTAACATAATTATGTCACAGATCGTCAGTACATCACATATTACCCACTTAGTAGAAGCAAACATACCAGCACTATGTGTCAACAAATTTGTAACCAGGTAATGGAGTAAGTATATTACCAACTTTACAGAACCAGGTAATGGCAGTTAGTATATAATATACACAATATCCATTGCCAGATAATGGAAGTTTATACATAAAATACAGAACCAGGTAATGGAAATTGTACATGATATATATTTAAACATATATTTGACAAATATGGAAAAAAATATCACATAAAAATTAGGGAAACATATTCATAATAACATTTTTTGAAAAAGAAATATGCATATAAGTAATAAAATCTGTACAATATTTAACTTATTCCACAGGGTTGTTACAGAATGGTGATCTGTGACTCCTGTCCTCCAGGCCCCTGGGTCCAACTCCTCAACAATAACAGAGTAATAATTAACATAATATATAAACATAATGTACGTCTGCACTTCACCTGTAGACACTAACGATGGCATTGTCACCACTCGCATACACAACAGACTTCACAACAACTTTGTGCATCAATGTCCTTAACTTACTCTAGAACATCTTAAAACTTCTTATTCCTAAAGCACAAATATATATATATTACTAAATCAGGTCATAACATGAATAAAGAAAATCTAGACATTGGAATGTTATGAGGTGTACAGACACGGTTAGTTACCTTCGTAAATGGGACATTGATCTAGACAAAAGGTAAATGTGGGAATTTGTTTACAAGCATGTCAAACTTCTTAACACGGCTGGTAAGTGTGCCTACTATGTTTAATTCACACTAATGACGATGTGACCGATTAGTGGACACTATCAGGTGTATAATACACACTAATGACGATGCGACCGATTAGTGCACACTATCAGGTGTATAATTCACACTAATGACGATGCGACCGATTAGTGGACACTATCAGGTGTATAATTCACACTAATGACGATGTGACCGATTAGTGGACACTATCAGGTGTATAATACACACTAATGACGATGCAACCGATTAGTGGACACTATCAGGTGTATAATTCACACTAATGACGATGTAACCGATTAGTGGACACTATCAGGTTTATAATACACACTAATGACGATGCGACTGATTAGTGGACACTATCAGGTGTATAATTCACACTAATGACGATGTGACCGATTAGTGGACACTATCAAGTGTATAATACACACTAATGACGATGCGACCGATTAGTGGACACTATCAGGTGTATAATTCATACTTGTGAGAATTGTTTCCATCATAATTAAGGTGTCATCATTTATATGGGCTTCAGAGGCAACAAACTAATGTCAAAAGATGCCTTTATGGGTCATTCTTCCTGAGGAGATCATTGTTATGCCTTACAGAGATTTCTTTTAAACAGAGCTTATTTTTGACTGTTACAGTTTACCATTGTGTCATGATGAAAGTCAAGATGCCTCTTAATTATTTCTATGGCCTTGTTCTGCAAATCAAAACCTGAATGGTTTCTCTTACTTACACTTTGTACAGCAATGTACCCTAACTTCACCTGTTTGATTGTAAGTGTTCTTTCTCATAATAACAATTAAACAATGAACTGCACAAGGCCATATCTTCAATATCAAACTAGATCAATAATTCAATAATCTGTGGGCAGAGTATCAAACTCATATACTTTTGAATTGTCAACTTGTATATATTCTTCAATATCCGAACTGTAATTGTGTGAAATATATGACAATAGTCCGAAGTCTATCTGTGTCATATATTTAACAACAGTCCTACGTCTGTGTGGAACATATATTTGACAATATCCAATATCCTTCACGTTTCTATTTTTTTGACTATAGCCCATATTTTCTGTGTGTGATATATACCTGACAATACTCCACACTCAATAAAACATGCACACTAAGACAGTGTTAGGATTAGTAAGCTATAGTTAATACAAGCTGGTATAAAGTACTATAGTGGTCCAGGTATACAAGTATATAAAATGAAAGTGTGATGTACAAATGATCATATTCCCTACTTCACAAATCCTGTGTCTGTTGTAATACTGACAGGTGTGTGTAGGACATGTTCTATCAATAAAATGTTGTAGCGTTAATTCAGAGATCCCACAATAACATGTTCGGCAACACAACATGATACAAGAGCTACTAACAGGTGGTTTTGGTTACCATAATATAGATCACTGGCAAAGATATCCCACACTGTCATCAGTCCACTGGTGTTATTAGTTATAGGCAATAAACTATATGTCATTCTACTGAAACCTGTAGGACACAACACATGATACACATAGTCATGTAATACAGCGGAATACATTGCACCAAACTCTTATGATTTGTCCATTTCGTTTGGAGCATTAAGAAAGACATTCAAGTATACAGGATAACGATAACAGTATGCAGTAAAAGTGGCTATTTTCAAATGTTAAAACAATTTTTATCATTTGCAATGCAGAAATCAAACAATGAAATTTTCTGTACTTTGGTTCAAGTATTAAATTCATTGATTTTCTGATACATATTTTGATAGTGGGAACCTCTTTTACAGCATTCTGTATCCAGATAATGTAGGATTGGCAACCATATCCCCGTATTTCCAAATGTGCCAATGAATGAATGGCCACTGCAGGGCGGAAAACCAAGTCACCACAGTGAAGACAGGTCAAACAGAGCCCCGTGCGTCGATGGCCGTTGTGACTTCTACGCTGAGTTGCTAGTGTGGCCTTCTGGTAGTTCTGTTTAATGATGATTGCCAGCGTGTTGTATTTGCTGAAGGTTTCCAGCATGCCCTCTTGGCTGATCCATTTGTTGACAGTTGCCACTGTGACACAATGGCTGTTCCGAGTGGCCTGGCTTTGAGTTATGGGTGATACAAAGCTAGTCATGATGGTCCTTATAACTGTGTGTTTTCCTCCACTGTCTCACTAGTTTTACTTTGCTGTGCTGTCAAATTCTGACATTTCTCCTCAAACTCCGCTACCAACTTTTCTGAAGCCTAGGTAACAGAAATGTGTAAACTTTAGAACAGTATTGACTCTAACTAGAGTATAACATAACATTTTCACCCAACAATCCTTTCTCCCCTAATCTGTAATTGAACACTCCCGGTGTTTTTAATCTAATTTACTAACTCAGTACTGTTTACTGTAGGGACTAAACAGGTGACTCACTGGTAAATACTCTACGAGTGGTTACATCACTTGACCCAAAAATAACTTCTTTTTTTCTCTCACAGAAATATATAAACTTTGGTAAGAATGTGAGTCTGATATGTATATATAGTATATTATAGTGCTTTACCTGCTCTCTTTCCTTCTCAAATTCATCGGCAATAGCTTCTAGTGCTTTGGTCAGTTCGTCTTTCTTCTTGGCAAGTATATCACTAAGCTGTCAACATATATTTACACTTTCTGAGTCACGCAGCTAAAACACTGACAGGTCAGCAAGTGCCCCACCATTGCCGGACTGTAGCCCCCACCCCTGGTCATTTTTTAGTAACAGTAACCTTGACCTTGACCTTAAAAACTTTTTAAACCCCTATTGTACATCTACATTTCACAGTACATCCCCAACGTTCAAATTCAGAAAGAATAGTCTTCCAGATTCCGAGATAAGTGTGGATGGACAGACAAATGGAGTCCATTGACTACAATAGGGCACCCACATCTCTTAATGAGGGGCCCTAACGAGAGATCCCAGAGGAATCTTGGCGCCCACCCTCGTACCATCTTTATTGGTGTGATCTATGTAAGTAACTTCATTTGAAACTACATTTGAAGAAAGACCTCTCTCTCAAAATCTAAGTTTTGTTTTATTGATAAGCCTCAAAATGAAAAATTCACAACTTAATTAGGACCCATATAAAATCAAAATAAAAGATATGTCCAGTACTTCTTGAGAAACAGTCATAACAATCTTGAACTACCAAAAATCAAGATGGTTGTCTGTTGGCCATCTTGTTTTTCTAATCAGGTCTCAGAATCAAACATGCACAATGACAGACCGTATAGAGCCTAAATATGAAATTAGAGAAAGATCCCTCTATCACTTTGCGAGAATTAGTGCTAACAATTTTTAACTCTCAAAATTCAAGATGGCTACCTGACAGCTATGATGTGGGTATAAGTCTATCCTGTTTTAAGAAAATCATAATAAAATTAGGGACAAAGTGGCCAGAAATGATTTTGTTTATGGATAGATGAACAGAAAAACAGTTGATACCAGTCCCCCCTCTCACCCCTCCTAAAAAAGGTTTTACAGGGGATATAATTCATGTTCAAAGGCATTTAAAAAAACACAACTAAAAATAACATATTCAAAATCAAAAGTAAGACAGGTGAAGAGAAGGAGAAAATTGCATCAGTAAAATTACCTTCCTTCTCCGTTCTACAACGGCATCTACATGCTTCTGTTGTGCTTCACGTCTTCGTCTGGAAAGGGAAAAAAATATTATCAGACTTTTTAGTCCAAAACTAGCCCCGATGAGAGTTAATCAAAATAATTTTCTATCCTTAGATTAAGGGTACTTACTACACATACCTTGCTCTGTGCTAGGAGTTTAGGCTACATATCAGGTGTCCTAAAACAAACGGGTGTCACAATACGCCTAAAGTGTATCACAATGTATATTGTAATACAGAAAGGAATGTGTTGCAGTACATATCATGATATATAGTCGTAGGAAAACTTTTGTCAGAATGTTATCAAACTGAATCATATATGCATAGCATACCTGCCAACCCCAGATATACTGAAAGAGCGGGTTGATGACCCTCTTTTGAAAATAAAAAAGAAGGTCATAGCGCGCGACGTCTTTTTCGCAACAAATATAAGAAAAGTATATGTAGATATTAAATTACAACTTTAATATTTTAATGATGTAAAAGGTCCATTCTACATTGATTGAACTATTCTTCCAGCAGATCTAGCTGATCCTCATCTTTGCGTATCTTGGCGTATCTATTAAAATAGCAGTAATTTATAAAGTTCAAACATCCAGGAGATACATGAAATAAGATTTGGAAAAGATTGCGATAGAGCAATACTTCATTTTTGTATTTCGATACAATATGATTTGCCCTTGTATTGTGATATACCATTTTTCCAATATATTATGACAGCTCTTCTATCAGTATACCTTGCTCATTACTAGGTACTTACCTGTTATGATAGGCTACGTATCAGATATACTAGAACATAGTATACCTTGCTCTGTGCTAGGTACTTCGACTACGTGTCAGATATACTAGAACGTAGTATACCTTGCTCTGTACCGGTACTAGGTACTTAGACTACGTGTCAGATATACTAGAACGTAGTATACCTTGCTCTGTACTAGGTACAAGGTACTTAGACTACATATCAGATATTCTAGAACATAGTATACCTTGCTCTGTACTAGGAACTTAGACTACATATCAGATATACTAGAATGTAGTATACCTTGCTCTGTACTAGGTACAAGGTACTTAGACTACGTATCAGATATACTAGAGCATAGTATACCTTGCTCTATACTAGGTACCTAGACTACGTATCAGATATACTAGAACGTAGTATACCTTGCTCTCTACTAGGTACTAAGACTACGTGTCAGATATTCTAGAACATAGTATACCTTGCTCTGTACCGGTACTAGGTACTTAGACTACGTGTCAGATATACTAAAACATAGTATACCTTGCTCTGTACTAGGAACTTAGACTACATATCAGATATACTAGAACGTAGTCTACCTTGCTCTGTACCGGTACAAGGTACTTAGACTACATATCAGATATTCTAGAACATAGTATACCTTGCTCTGTACTAGGAACTTAGACTACATATCAGATATACTAGAATGTAGTATACCTTGCTCTGTACTAGGTACAAGGTACTTAGACTACATATCAGATATTCTAGAACATAGTATACCTTGCTCTGTACTAGGAACTTAGACTACATATCAGATATACTAGAACGTAGTATACCTTGCTCTCTACTAGGTACTAAGACTACGTGTCAGATATTCTAGAACATAGTATACCTTGCTCTGTAACGGTACAAGGTACTTAGACTACGTATCAGATATACTGGAACATAGTATACCTTGCTCTGTACCGGTTCAAGGTACTTAGACTACGTATCAGATATACTGGAACATAGTATACCTTGCTCTGTACCGGTACTAGGTACTTAGACTACGTATCAGATAAACTAGAACATAGTATACCTTGCTCTGTAACGGTACAAGGTACTTAGACTACGTATCAGATATACTGGAACATAGTATACCTTGCTCTGTACCGGTTCAAGGTACTTAGACTACGTATCAGATATACTGGAACATAGTATACCTTGCTCTGTACCGGTACCAGGGACTTAGACTACGTATCAGATATACTAGAGCATAGTATACCTTGCTCTATACTAGGTACTTAGACTACGTATCAGATATACTAGAACATAGTATACCTTGCTCTGTGCTATGTACTTAGACTACATATCAGATATACTAGAACGTAGTATACCTTGCTCTGTACTAGGTACTAAGAATACGTATCAGATATACTAGAACACAGTATACCTTGCTCTGTACCAGTACAAGGTACTTAGACTATGTATCAGAATACCTTGCTCTGTGCTAGGTACTTAGACTACATATCAGATATTCTAGAACATAGTATACCTTGCTCGGTACAAGGTACTTAGACTACATATAAGATATACTAGAACATAGTATACCTTGTTCTGTACCGGTACAAGGTACTTAGACTACATCTCAGATATACTAGAACGTAGTATACCTTGCTCTCTACTAGGTACTAAGACTACGTGTCAGATATTCTAGAACATAGTATTCCTTGCTCTGTTCTAGGTACTTAGACTACATATCAGATATTCTAGAACATAGTATACCTTGCTCTGTATTAGGTACTTAGACTACATATCAGATATATCAGATATACTAGAACATAGTACACCTTGCTCTATACTAGGTACTTAGACTACATATCAGATATACTAGAATGTAGTATACCTTGCTCTGTACTAGGTACTAGGACTACGTGTCAGATATACTAGAACGTAGTATACCTTGCTATGTACTAGGTACTAAGACTACGTATCAGATATACTAGAACACAGTATACCTTGCTCTGTACTAGGTACAAGGTACTTAGACTACGGATCAGATATACTAGAACATAGTATTCCTTGCTCTGTACTAGGTACTAAGACTAAGTGTCAGATATACTAGAACATAGTATGCCTGGCTCTGTACCGGTTCAAGGTACTTAGACTACGTATCAGATATCCTAGAACATAGTATACCTTGCTCGGTACAAGGTACTTAGACTACATATCAGATATCCTAGAACATAGTATACCTTGCTCGGTACAAGGTACTTAGACTACATCTCAGATATACTAGAACATAGTATGCCTGGCTCTGTACCGGTTCAAGGTACTTAGACTACGTATCAGATATCCTAGAACATAGTATACCTTGCTCGGTACAAGGTACTTAGACTACATAACAGATATACTAGAACATAGTATATCTTGCTCTGTACCGGTACAAGGTACTTAGACTACATCTCAGATATACTAGAACATAGTATCCCTTGCTCTGTACTAGGTACAAGGTACTTAGACTACATCTCAGATATACTAGAACATAGTATATCTTGCTCTGTACTAGGTACTTAGACTACATCTCAGATATACTAGAACATAGTATACCTCGCTCTGTGCTATGTACTTAGACTACGTATCAGATATCCTAGAACATAGTATACCTTGCTCGGTACAAGGTACTTAGACTACATCTCAGATATACTAGAACGTAGTATACCTTGCTCTGTACTAGGTACAAGGAACTTAGACTACACATCAGATATACTAGAACATAGTATCCCTTGCTCTGTATTAGGTACTTAGACTACATATCAGATATTCTAGAACATAGTATTCCTTGCTCTGTACTAGGTACTAAGTCTACGTATCAGATATACTAGAACATAATATACCTTGCTCTGTACTAGGTTCTTAGACTACATATCAGATATACTCGAACATAGTATACCTTGCTCTGTATTAGGTACTTAGACTACATATCAGATATTCTAGAACATAGTATTCCTTGCTCTGTATTAGGTACTTAGACTACATATCAGATATCCTAGAACATAGTATACCTTGCTCGGTACAAGGTACTTAGACTACATAACAGATATACTAGAACATAGTATACCTCGCTCTGTGCTATGTACTTAGACTACGTATCAGATATCCTAGAACATAGTATACCTTGCTCTATACTAGGTACTTAGACTACATATCAGATATACTAGAACGTAGTCTACCTTGCTCTGTACCGGTACAAGGTACTTAGACTACATAACAGATATACTAGAACATAGTATACCTCGCTCTGTGCTATGTACTTAGACTACGTATCAGATATCCTAGAACATAGTATACCTTGCTCTCTACTAGGTACTAAGACTACGTGTCAGATATACTAGAACGTAGTATACCTTGCTCTGTACCGGTACTAGGTGCTTAGACTACGTGTCAGATATACTAGAACATAGTATACTTTTCTCTGTACTAGGTACTTAGACTACGTTTCAGATATACTAGAACATAGTATACTTTTCTCTGTACTAGGTACTTAGACTACGTATAAGATATACTAGAACATAGTATTCCTTGCTCTGTATTAGGTACTTAGACTACATATCAGATATACTAGAACATAGTATACCTTGCTCTTTCCTCTTTATCCTTGTACTGTTTGCTCATTTGTTTATTATCCTTTTGTCGTGAAGCTTCCATGTCTTCGCTGAGCTTTTTTACTTCACCGTCATGTATGTCGGTGAGCCGTTTGAGGTGGTTTTTGTGATCTTGTTCCATGATTTCCTTGAGAGCGGTGTACAGAGGTTCTAGATGGCGCTGGTGTATCTCTAGCTCAGCCTGGTAATGCTCCTTACTCATCATCACAAACATTTCTGTCTGTGTGTCCCGCATTTCCTTATGCTACAACAAAAGTTCAAGGTCAAATGTCCCTGTCTGATTTTTACATCAACCATGGTGTTCATTTTAATGGAAACCTTCCAAAATTTCATAAGTTTTTATAGAAATTTGTTCAAAGATTTATTCATGTAACAAAGTTTTTTTATATTACATTTTTTTTTTATATAAATATTTGCAGCATATTTTCAAATGAATCTAATATCTTACAAACAAAGTCAGCAGTGTATCTTTAATCATAGTAAAACCTGTATAAAGACATTATTCTGTATGTGTTTAATAACAGAACTTAATTATTATATACAATACACTGATATTTATCTTCAAAATACAATTAGAAAGAAAGCGTTTTAAGCCAGAAATTTATATTACGTATTTGAACTACCTTTATTTGGTGTTAATTAAACATCAGACTGTATATAGCTGCTAATGTTAGCCTATGTAGTACCTACAATACTACAATAAGGGGTAGAATCATGGTAGTTTATGTTATAGGAGATGGAACTAGCTGATATCAACTACTCTTCTGTATCAATTGGTAAATATAGCATCTTATGAAATAGATAATGGTGTACAGGCAGGTTTGAACACCTCATAAGGAAAACCTCAGTATTCTACATTGACACCTCAGTACTCATCAATCTATCTAATGAAGACTAAACTTTATAATGACTGTTGGACTCTGTGTTTGCAAGCAGAGGGAATTAAAACAGCACTTATGATTAAAAACAAATTTGTCATGACTGTTATCTTTAGTGTTAGTATTCAATGTAAGCCAGCTGTAGTTTGAACAATAGTTATCCGTTGTCATAACCCCAGGTAACCATTAGTTACCAATAGTAACCATTGTTACCAGTAGTAACCATAAGATACCAATAGTAGCCATTGTTACCAGTAGTAACCATAAAATACCAGTAGTAACCATAAGATACCAATAGTAACTTTTAGTTACCAGTAGTAACCATATGATTTCAGTAGTATTTAATAGTAAACAGTAGAAACCATTAATACAAGTAGTTTTCAGTGTACACAACTTTGTAAGATTCCAAACCAGAATTATGTCAGTTAGTAGAATCAAGAACAGACACTATCTGTACCGAAAGAGAAAATCTGGTTATTTGCCCACGGTTACAGGACTGATATTTATCACACGACTAACATGTTATGCAGTTTATACATCCATGGCATATCTTATGTTTTACACAATAACCTCTTTGCCATGCCAGAATTTAGACATTACCGGTATATATATATAATGTCATAACACAGACGTGGCGTTAAATGGTAATGTCTAAGATTTGACAATGGACAGAAAAAAACTGTTTTTGCAAATATTCGCATGCATTCTTGGTAATGTGATAAAAAGGATCTTCAATTTGATTCCATTTCACATCAGATTGGTGAAATGTAGCCCAGAATTTTCTTTTTTACTCAGCAGAGCCTGGCTAAAATAAAAAATCTTCAGACTTTTTTCATAATCTAATGTGAAATGAAATTAATTTCAGATCCTATATTTAATATATTTATACATTGATAGCTATAATGAAGAGGTACCAAACAGAACATACCCTCTGTATAGACATAGGTATACTTGATGAAGGAAAAATGTGGTGAAGTGACTTGTATAGCTAAGAAAGCACCAGGCACATTGAAATTATCTTGCAATGCTAAAATGTGAAGGACCAATATGCACCCACCAAGTGTACCTCACGATACATAACACTGAAACCCAATACAGCAAACAACCAGAACAAAAAGGACTCATTTCTCCCTGATGCAAATGAAACCATGGTAAAAATAAGATAATTGCATTCCAAAAGGTCTTTAAACATGGCCAATAAAAACAAAACTAAATTATATGTAACATCAATGGACCATGCACAGTTGGATGCATTTATAATTCTTGAAAAGAAAGTTCAAAAACTGGAAATATGTCTAAGCAACGAATGCCCAAACTGCAACATTGTATACAGTCTTGTAGCGATGTACTAATGTACCAAGTAATGTGTGTCAAGTTATCTTCAGTAGTATGGAAGTTAGACCAGGACAATTCTTAAAGCTCTTTTGATCTCTGTCCTTTAAGCTCTTTTGATTTCTGTCCTTTAACAAAGAATTACATCTCAGGAAATCGTTGAATTTTTCACCCAGCCTAGAGATTATGTGCAAAGTTGATGAAGTTACGCTAGTGTTATAATGTTATATTCAGTGCATAGGTAAGTTTAGGCTGGGACGAGGAGATGTGGATGTACAGGAGGACGAATTGGACAGACAAGTGAATCTGCAGCAGGGCGTACTGGACAGACAAGTGTTCTGCAGCAGGACGAATTGGACAGACAAGTGTTCTGCAGCAGGACGAATTGGATAGACAAGTGTTCTGCAGCAGGACAAATTGGACAGACAAGTGTTCTGCAGCAGGACATACTGGACAGACAAGTGAATCTGTAGCGGGACATACTGGACAGACAAGTATACAAAGGTTTTCAGGAAGGATATTTGTGAAGTGGTTCAGAGCCGTTTTTATATCAAGACAACTATGATGTATGTTTAATCTGATGTTATTTCCTTATGCAAATGTGTAATTTCTTGTGCCTGATTATACAAAATAATGATGTAACTGTTGATAAGCAGAAATCAAAACAATCTACTGATTAATTATATGGAGAGAAAAGGAAATTACAGAAAAAAAGGAAATATATTTAGCAAAATTTCATAAAGTAATAATTAATGAAGCAAGAAGAAAAGACAACTGATCCCTGCCTCGGAGTGTACACAGAGGTCAGAGTTCAGTAATTGTGATTATGCCACGTAAATCCTCAGAACTGTTACCTTAGACTTTTGCTAAAATAAAAACAAGAAGATATTGCAAGTCAGTTTAATCAATTGGTTTTATATGTGCATAATGTTTTTTTCTTCTTTTGATAAATCTGTTTTCAGGAATCACAATGTGTTCTATGCTTCAAAATGTTACACAAAGGCCATCAATTGTCTGGTTTATAAACCCAGCACAAAGTTATACCATAAATACAGTGGACAAACAATGTATTCTGTTGAGAAGATTTTTTTTTTATTTTTTTTATTTTTTTATTAATGATTTTTAACGAAAAAACAAATCCTGTTCAATTCAATATATGTATCAGTAACAAGATATATGTCCAAGATAATAATCTTTTGACCTTTGTAAAAGAAACATTTTGACCTTGAGAACAATTATGTGATGGTCCTTACATGGCCTGTAAACAAAAGTTAACAACATTTAAGGAGTGAGGTATACCTCGACCTCATGGCCAGTCAGGAGGTTGTCAAATTCCATGGAGGTTTTACGCTCGACCTCCTCCTTGTTTCCCTGCTTCTTGGCCTTCTCTAGAACTTTACTGTTAGTCTTCTCCAGGCTGCGTTTAGCTTTGACCTGTGAACGGAACATTTTATCCAACTGTGTGTCGTGTACCTCCTTTACACTCTCTTTCACCTGTAAATAAACAAGCTCAGTGCTGTATGTGTGTTCTGGAACCCCTGTCTATAGGCCGTCATACCTCATCTCACCACCTGATGGACGTGTCACATTGCCACCTGAATTTCGTTAGCTTAATGCACCCAATTTTATGTTCTTTATAAATATACAGATGTTCCTTAATAAACGAACAGTAATCTCAAATATCTTACCTTCTTCATCAAATAACAAAACATCACAAATGATGCTATTACCCCAATAAAAGGAAATAGTCAGAAATACATGAAAAAGTGTACGCAATAGATTAGGTCGATGACATAAATATCTGCTCTAGTAAAATTGACCTTTAAATGTTAATTTATGTTAAAAGGTGATAATTTGGCAACATGTATGTGAAGTTTAGTTAAATCGGAAAATTAATTTTCAATTCATGCCAGTTGAATAAGAAATAAAAGTCTATGGAATGATGACGCAAGAAGTTCTATTTAGAGTAACTGACTTTGTATTGGACTCCAGAAGGTTGAAATGTGAAGTAGTAAACAAGATGATTTTTGTGAACAGTGAACACATACATGAAGTTTCATGATAGCCCAAAGAGAAATGAAGTCTGTGAAGTCATTGTCGGGGACATGTACACAAGTTTGTGTAGTTCTCTACAATTAAACCCTCAATAACTTCTCTCAAGGGTATTGTATTCTTAAATAATTTACTCTCCCTCAATCTCAAAAATATCACTTTCCTTAAGGAATAATAATCTCAACCCTCTCATCTTCCATTAACAATGTCAATATCAAATTTCTTACCTGATTTTTCTTACCTGGTGGTTTTCCCTTCTTTTCTTAGTGGAAACCATTAACAAATGTCCTACTTTCCTCAATATAAATCAACCTCTAAATAGTTACTTCCCTTATACATATCCATATCAAAAACTAGATGTAAACCCTTGTGATAAATATAACTAGTGAGTAAGATTAGGTATCATGAACCCCTCCTATCATCACACTCATTAACAATACTAGAGAATACGCCAGGATTCATCAATGACTCAACTGGGAGTCCCTGTTGACCTGTAGACATACCAGGTATTCAAACTTATACATCTCTCTCTAGCACGGAGACGTTGGTACACACAGCAGTGGTACTTGTACTGTAGGCAGTTACAGTCAAGAGCTATCATGACTCTTGGTCAACATTTTATTGTTTTGTTCTTAAAAATTCTAGTAGATTGAATTTTGCACAACATGATCGAAAGTCAATAGTTCCAACTAACTCTCCATTGAAACAGTTTCAATCTTTTTTATCAAATGAAAAAATAAAGCTGCTGTGAAATGCTGCACAGCGTGTAAGATCAGTAGAAAAAGAGACATTTCATAGGCAGAATAAAGAAATAAAAAAAATAAACAATGTAATCAATATTTTATAACAGTCATCAAAACTTTTAATAGATAAAAATATTTATTTACTTAAAAATATATTTAAAATCATATAAATTATCAAAAATTGAAGCCTGAATAGTATAGAATTCTGTTCAATACTTGTAAAATTGTGTCACGTCAGTGATAAAGACAGCATGATGACAACATACATACCTTTTCATGTTTCTTTTTTAGAGATTCTATTTCCTTTTCCCGTTTACTCAATGCCTTAATGAAGGGTTTCTGTTGCTTGAGCTCCTCTAAAGATGTTGGTTGTAGGATGGTTGGATCTGTAGGACAAATAGTTCTATGTATTAGGAATATTAAACCAGAACATAGGAGTTTTTATATTGTAATCAGGCACTGATTTCTTTGTGAACAACAAACAAATTCAAATTGTTCAGTTTGGGCCACTCTTTGTACCCATTTTTATGGCACAAGAGGCCCTGGGGGCCTGTACTGCTGAATGCTCAACTGGATATTAAGCAAATGAGACAAATATTCTCATTACCTGTTTAATGTATTAAAATTTCCCCTAGTCCCAAGGATGCTTCATAGCAATTAAGTTAAAATACAATTAACTGGTCTAGAGAAATAGTTTTTTTCCCCCATCCATTTCCCCCTTTTGGACATCACCACATCAGGGGAGCTACATTCTTCCTTTACACAATAACTGATTCTAAATTTAGTATCATAAAACCAAGTTTACATCAAAAGCAACTTTTATTGAGATCCATATTTCTGTGGGTGGGGTCAATCCTGAAATCATATTACATGAGTTTATTTGTCTCTCAATGCCTAGCTCTTGTTAACATTTTCAAAGGGCGAGAATCTCGACCATTTCCATGTAATGATTCAGGGACTAGTCCATACGGCAAGGTGGGGCTGGACCCATAGAATCCTGGTAGCATGAGTGTATTTGTCTTTTCATGACTAGCAATTGCACTTATGTTTTTAAGGTGGGGATTTAAATGACCTTTTCCAACTATGACCTTTGAACTATGTCAACAGGGGTGGGGCTGACCCAGGAACCAATTCTGGTAGCATAATCGTGTTTGTCCCTTTATACCTTGCAGTTGTTGAGTATACATACCATTAAGTTTGGAGGAGCCAGGATTAATTCCATTTTCATTGTTGATACTGTTCACACTTCGGAGTTGTGGCTGGCTCACCATTCCTACAAGGTTAAGTACAAATATTAGTTTTAAAGTAAAACGGTTTGTAAAATTAACGTGTACAGTGTGCTTGTTGGATAATGTGTATTCACTTTTTACATGCTCTGCCAATATGTGGAAATAACTCTATCTTATTGCTGACCACAGTACAATATATATACCTCATGCTTCGTTTTGAATGTCTATTACACCTGAACATTTTTACAACTGTATCATTATAGCAATGACAAAACGCTAACTTAAGTGACCATTCTCAGTGAGGTCGTGAAAAGCATGCTATACAGATAATAAAGAAGTTCAGTCAGACTGGCTACAGAACTACAGCCAGACTGACGACAGAAGTTCAGTCCGACTAACTACAGAAGACAGATCAGAGCTAGCAGACCAATCACTAGGCACAAGCTTTTCATTTTTCTATTTCACAAGAAGCATTACAAATGTCTAGTTAGAATCAAAAAACTTCCTTGATCAGCCAGTTGTCTGAATTTTCCCCATGAGTTATGTTGCTCTATAATAGGACATGTTCTGTTTTGTAAAAGAACATTTTGCTGGTGATCTCTTTTTCTTCATAAAGCATTGACTAGACATAATCTGCTATCTTAAGACAATTCCACAGGTGATGTGGGGATGCATTGTCAATCACTGTCAGTCTGTGTGATCTATGCTGCATTAGTAAGAAAACATCTAACAACCACATCAGTCTATAAATCATGTAAAGTCTATAGGCTACACACTACATCAACAGAATTAGCCTACAGAAACACACTACTACACACCAGTAGTTAACACACTGTAATGTAAGTCAGTTGTTACATTTCTCATTACATACGGGTGTTTGACAAGTACCATGTTCCTTTTCAGGTTCAGACAGGGAATATGGAGCCATATACACTGCCAAACACCTGTATAACTTATTTGTCTTACTTAATAGATATTTGTCATATACTTACAAATTGTGAAGATCTAAATATTAAAACTTTCTTTGCACAGTTTACGTTTTTTCAGTCAATGAGAGTTATCTCCCTTAATGTTACATGCGAAAAAGTACAAGTTTGAACCCGAACATATCAGAAAATGTGTTGACCAATCAACCGATATCTATCTTTATAGTACGACAAAATCTCATTCTCCATATCACCTCATTACAAGAAAGTCATTTCTTTAATCCCACATGACATCAACTTGTATTAATACATTTAGATCTCTTGTTAATTTCAATGTACTCAGATCCTATTTACCTTCAAGTTTGTTCATGATTGCAGTGACTTCATTATAATGAGGTTCTACTGTACAAGCAAATCAAAGGATATAGCAGAAGTAAAACATGTAAAGCTTGAACTAAGTAAATGATCCACACTAATCTTGTTAAAATATCATAATTACTTTTTCTTAGTCATGCCAGAATAATACAAGCTGTTGAATGGCCTTGCAGCAGCTGATTCACTTTTCAAATATATTTACCAATGATAGGTACTTTTGAAGATCATTCAACATTTGTCTGATGTTAAACTTTTAACATAAATAGTAATATGAGGTTTTGTAACAGGAAAGAAATTGTGATGGGTGTATTATTCTTTTGTAAGGAAGGTAAAAGTGCATTACTTAGTGATTGTCTTTGCATATTGCTCTCCACAATGGGACAACTTTTGGAAGTTAAACTTCCCTCGTCATTGTGTGGTCAATATTATTTACCATTATAACAACAAACAAGGCTGCTCAAATACTAGCGAACTGGATTTGTGTGGTGATGGGGGGAAAATGTGAAAAACCTCAATACAGTGGAAACTTCTTAATCTAGATACTGTGGTTTTCAACAAAAATGACCACATTTAATGGTATGAACTATCACACAAATAACTGAATTCTTTTAAAACAACTTCCAATAATTGAGTCAAGTTTATACACATTCTATTGTACTGAAACAATGAAATCATTTTAGCTTTGTAAGAAATTAGCCCGACATTTGGAAGTTTAGGACCAACTCAAAGATAGCTTTAATTACTCTCGACTCACACTAGGAGTTGTGACCTTTATTATGACTACAACATATGACCTTGACGTTAAATTGGTGTGTATTATCTTAAATTTGATCGTACCTATAACACTAATGACCCCAAGTGAATGGTGTGACCTCAATTCCTAATGAAGGATATGACCTTGACTCATACAAGATGACCTTGACTTGGCCTGAAGGGTATGACTTTGCCTCATAAGGAAATTACCTTGATTGAAGGTAAGAAATTGGATCAGATTAGAAAACTTAGATTTGGAAGGTATCTCCTTGGTCTAAGGTAAACTTTTTAACCTTGAATTAGTCTATAGGGTGTGATGTTGAATTAAGACCGGATGGTAAGATCTGGAATCAGACTCAATACCTTAACTTGACTTAGACTTGTTCATGTAACCTAGACTCATACATCGCTAACACTTAGTGTTTTTATAAGACAAAGCGGAAGCTATTTTATATAATGGATTAATTTTAAAATATGTGTTAAAGGAAGGCTGTTAGCTTGCTATGAGTGATATGTTAAAACTGGTTAATATATATATATATATTGTGCTAGCTACGTAACTGTAACTTAACATACGATAAAACATGCGATCTGTGGGGAAGAAAAAAACAAAAACATCACATTAAAACATGCAAATCAAACATATAAGGGAGATAATTATACAACAAGAAAATATTGAAATAATTAAATAAACATAGCAGGTTTCCGGTCCATGTCATGATGGTCCACAATGCTTTAGTAGTTGAGGGGTAAAGCTGGGTACTCTTTACCAAAGCTACCCACACACCTTATACAGTTAAATCTTTAAACATTTAAGTTAAGGATAACATTGCAAAGAAGAAATATTTATCAAAAAAAATCAAAAAAATCACTTTAACAAATCTTTGGAATTCTCTTCACAAATTAAAGCTACAGCTAAATATGAAGTTCAAACTAACATTGATACAAAGGATGTGTTGAGACAGATATTATACATGCTAAAGCTGTTTACGACACATCCTTCAACTAATACCAAAATTATAAGACAAACATTACAAACGACTAAATTCTATGCAATCCTTTCACTCTAAAACACTATCGGTGCAAACAGGATGTGATTGGGTAATGTAAATCATGCTGTCAGCACAGTACCATGCACCTACCACAAGTAACACATCACCATACTTTCAAGCCTGCTCGAAATTGGTGCAGCAATCTTTGTCAACAGCTGTGAAAGTCTACCTTCCCATAGAAACCTGTGTTATCTCAATCTTACTGAAAGCAAATCTCATGCTATACACTGTTTTAAAGTATCAAAATATGATCTCAAATCTAATACACCAAATCTAACTGTAGTATCAGATTTGAATGCAGTGGGAATTCATTCAGAAGAATGGCACGAGATAAACTTTCTAATAGATTATCTATACCCTTAACACAACACAAACAGATGCAAATTTCCATGTCTGTACTTGACAAGACTACACATAACATCAATGATAAAAGAGTCTGATACTTGAAGCCAGTTGTCAAAGTTTACACATAAAACTCGAGAAAGAGGCCCCACTGCTTAATTTTTTAACAATAATTTAATCAGATGTACATTTCAGAAGAAAGTGCCTATTACTGTCATTCAATATGAGAAGAAATGAATAGTTTGTGTACAGGACATGAACAGTCCTTTCAATGTGTACCAATGTCTCCTGCTCTTCCCCTTATGGGGTCAGCATCTTCGCCTTAACAAAATTGAATCCTTCTTTCTAGAAATGCTACATTTCAAATAAAATCTGCTCAGCTTTTCTGAAAAAGTAGCTATTTTTCAGATTGACAACATGCCATGGCATCAAAATTTGGAAACAAATTTTTTTATAACCAATGTAGTACATGTAATACCATACACAAGAGGCCTAATAGGCCTGAAGATACTCACCTTTCTTAAGTGGCCTTTCTTTTCACAAACTTCCTAGCACTATGTTTCAGTAAATTGCTGACTAACTGCTACGACTCTTGGCCGCTGTAGTTCTTCAGAAGTCTACTGAGTATTGTATTGATTGACCCCTACTTGAAATCTATCCTTAATCTTAAGACTAACATAAGAACAGATCCTGGATTTTTTATTTAGATAGACCTAATGTTTCTCTCTACATGTAACACTATACCAGTTGAGATGACGTGACTGACATGTTTATCATTTGTAAACAAAAGACTCCCAACCTGGAGAGGTGACGAGACAGACCTACCTGATGGATTGCTGGTGTCTGAACTGCTGCTAATCTGTTGTTTAATTTCTGCATGTGAGATTTTACTGGTCACAGGTTTCTTATCACTCTTCTTCTCTGGAATGGGGTTGGCTGAACTACTACTGTCTGTCCTGGACACGTCCTTGATCCCATCCATAGAGCTCTCCAACACTTCCTCCTGATCACCAATGATATTGAATTAAAATATATTTCTTTTCCAATGAAGATCAAAATTTAAGTGATTATGTCAGTTCTACATATCTTGCTAAAACAAACATCATTAACTTATTTCATCTCAATATCTCTTATAAATAAAGTCTTATATGTAATAAGGATTTTCACTGGTGGAAATCCTTATATATTTACAGTTTCACTGCAAGTTCCTCTGTGAATGCAATTTGATCAGCATCATTTCAAAGCTTTTCCTCTCTGTCTAATAACATAAGACAACCATAAGAAGCAAACATTTAGGTGATGCTAGGCTGTCCAGGAACCTCATTAGCACTGACGACACCGATAAATCAAGATCGAAAATACAAGGGAATATATATATTTAGGTCAATAATACCGAAAATTTTACAATGTAGATATAAGGATTGAACGACTGTATTTGTATGTTCATGCCATATGAATGCAAATTGATTACATACATACCGGGTTTCATGGAATATGTATGTAACCAAATTGAACAAGAGGCCCAGAGGGCTTGTATCGCTCACCTGGATAATAAAGCAACCATGGGAAATTATTCTTATTACATTAAATCCCTCCAATGGTACAGAAGAAGAAAGATTTTAAAGATTTCAACCTCTAATTTCCCTATTGGGCCCCACAACTCTCAGCCCCCTGGGGGTCCACACCCACCATTTATACAAAATTGAGTCCCCTTGGTCCAAGGATGCTCCAGACCAAATTAGGATAAAATCTCTTAATTCCTACAGTAGAAAAAGGCCTATAGTAGAAGGCCTATAGTAGAAGAAGGATTTTAAAGGTTTTACCTCTATTTTCCCTATTGGGCCCCACCTCTCTGTCCCCATGGGGGCCACACAAACCATTTATACAAAATTGAGTCTCCTTGGCCCAAGGATGCTCCGGACCAAATTAAGTCCAAATCTACTGGGCTGTTCAGGACAAGAAGTAGCGTTTTAAAGGAAAAGTTGACGGACAGACAATGCACCATGGCATAAAGCTCACTTGCCCTTTGGGCAGGTGAGCTAAAAACATGCCGGTCAATCATTATATATTTTCATTTACATACATCTTCATTATCCATATCTTCTAAGATCTTCAACTGTGCATCACGCTTCTCAAGCTGTGACAGGTACTGAATGGGGTTACTCAAAGCCCAGGTAAATACTGAAACAGACACAAGAAGCAATCCAACACAAGACAAACAGGTTATAATAGAACTTTAGTGTCAACACTTTTGTCAATCTATTTTGCTTGTACAATTACTGTTAAGCAAGTAGGTTACAGTAAATTATTTGAATTTGTACAGATTTTTGCAGTAATAGCTGTGATTCTGAAAGTTTCCCTCTATACCGTATCATACCCAGTATGTCTAAAGAGGAGTATCATTACAATGATTTAATGTCATAATTAAGAACATATATAAATTGCTCAATGTCAGAATTAAGGATGTTGTTATAATCCTCCAATTAGAAGAAAATGATGTCATTATCCTTGAATATAACAGACTCATTTATAGACATGTAGATTATAATGTAAGTATAACAACCACTTACTAGCAAACTGATCCGACACGTAGTCCTGGACATTGATGTAGACAAACAAGCTGGGTAGTAAGAGAGGCAGGTTACATTCATTCCTTAGTGGAAGGTGTCGGTAACCTACAATCAAATCATATGTAAATCACCTGTCTCAGACATCACATGACATTTATATTAGCATGTCAGATGTCAAGTCACATGTCAGATGTCAAGTTAGATGTCAGATGTCAAGTCACATGTCAGATGTCAAGTCACATGTCAGATATCAAGTCACATGTCAGATGCCACCAAATGTAAAACCATAGATGCCACAAAACTTAAGTTTTTGCATCAGAAACATAATGGTTTTTTTTCTCTCCATCTTATAAACACTATAGGTTTCATTCCTTCTGTCACTGCAAAATTTAACATCACCCAACATGACGTCACAATACCATAAAAGAGATCCCAGAGGGATCTTGGCGCCAACCATTGTACTATGCCACTTTGATATTTTCTCTTATCTGTTTGATCAAGTCATGTAAACGGTAAATGCACCATTTCACATATTCACTAGTACAGTTCTTTAAATGTAAGAGAAATAGATATGATCATTGCAATATCAGAAAGATCTCATATAAGTACTTCCTGTGGCCATCTTGTGTTTATGATCACTCTCCAAGGCAAACATGCACAACTATAGATCAGACCAAGGAGAACCTACATATCAAATTTGAGGAAGATCCCTCAAAAACGTCCTGAGAAATAGCAATAACAAACATTCACTGTCAAAATCCAAAGTCCATCATCAGATGATGGCGGGCTAAAAATGTCACTTGCATTATGACAACACATTTTGCATAACAAAGATCGATATTGTATTCTGACATCACTTACCTGGTCTTAAACCTTGAACGGGCAAAATCCTGTGCCCTAACATCTTGTTGTTCTCATCAAATGCAATTATTCTTATCACAGCTAAATTTGGAAGGACGACCTATCAGAAAAGGAAGGATTTCGATTAGGGTCAGTTGTGTACGCAGTCACAAAGTAAATGATGTGTGATACATGTACTTAGTTTGTGTAAATTGGGAAGGGTTGAAAGTAAACTCAAATAGCCATTACCGGTATACATTAACGTTTTTGTTGATGTTCATTATAACAAATAATAATACCAATTTGAGGTTCTTATATACCACTTTACCACAACCTAGTTCGTAGCTCGTCTCAAAGCGGTTCACAAATTATCTGTGGTTATAGGGCCTTTGCAACCAGCCAATATCTTTCTCAACTCCCTGGGGAGCATACAGCCAGAGCTGCCATTTCGGCGCTTACAGCTAGCATTCAACAATTCTAGCACTGCCCAACCATGACTCGAACCCGCAACCCTTCGGTCACGAGCCCGGCATCCTAGCACTAGACTACCGTGCCTCATTAAAAACAAAAATTAAAATAGCGGGGAATGTCGTTGTTTGAAGAGTAATCATGAATAAAAAATAATCATACAAGTTGAATGATTTACAGACCTTTTTTAAGACCTTGTATCACAACAATAGTAAACACCATTCTCAGGACTCTTACCTTTTCAAATACAAAGGGTTCACTAGAATAGACAGGGTTAATTCCATTGTTTTGTACCATGTTGGTTTTGAATTTTTTCCTCACAGTATCTGTGGGTAGCCCATACATTTCCACTTCCACATAGGTACCAATCTTCTTCTCTGACAGGAGGGAGCCTGAGATTATCTGTCAAACCAAAAAACATTCTTACACATCTTGAAACTTCAATGAACTTAGCAAAATATAGTGTGTAGTACAAGATAATACAGATACAAGGATATATCATATCTGCGAGGTCAAAAACTTATTAACAAGGATGTACTGGATTTAAAAGATCAAGGAAAACAATCAGGCTGTATCAGATTTGTGAGGTCAAGAAACTACAACTTTTATTTATACTCTAAACAAGAGGCCCAGGGGCCTTAATAGCTCACCTGGTATTTTATTTTTCAAGTTAAAACCTGCTGAGTACCATACAGGTTTATCAAAGGAGTACAAGTAACAAAGTTGCAAGGAGAACTACATGTAAATCTGTTTTGGTGGGTAAGACACCAAGAAAATGAGTTTTCATGTTATGTCCCAAGGAGGTATCCTCCAGGGATTGGTATGAAGCTCCAGGGGGGTCTTTTCCCCAAAGATGCTCTAGAAGAAGTTTGATGAAAATCCCTTCATTAATATTTTCCTCTATTTCCCCTATTGGACCTCACATGCACCTTTATATACAAATTATACAAAATGAGATTTTCCCCCTAAGCATGCTTGACCACATTTGGTTTAAATCCCTTCATTTGTACCGAAAGGAAAATCTTTTTCTCTATTTCCTTTATTGAGCCCCGCTCCTATGCCCCTGGGGGTGGGGGCTCATCCTTCATTTATAGATATTAATTTTGTATAAACTAAGGTGTGTGGACCCCTTCTTTGGGGTAGATGGTGGGGCCCATTAGGGGAAATAGAGGAAAACATTAAAGATCCTTCTCCTTCTGTACTGATAAAGGGATTTTAACCAAACTTGTTCTAGAGCATCATTGGGCAAAGGGAATTTAATATGTAATTCTTTTGTCCCTAAGCATGCTTCAGACTGCATTTGGTTTAAATCTCTTCACTTATACGTAGGAAAAAACATTTCCTATATTTCCCCTTTTAGGCCCCACCCCTAGAGGGGCCACACCCTCCGTTCATACAAACTTGAGGCTCCTTTGCCCAAAGATGCTCTAGAACAAATTTGGTCAAAATCCTTCTATTAGTTGAGAAGAAGATTTTTAAAGATTTAACTATTTCCACCTATTTGGCCCCGCCCCTTTGCACCCAGGGGAGCCATGCTCTCTGTTTATACAAAACTAAGAACCCTTTGGCCAATGATGCTCCAGACCAAATTTGGTCAAAAACCTCTGAGCCGTTAAGGTCTAGTAGCGTTTTAAAGGAAAAAGTTGACGACTGACATGGCATTAGCTCACTTGGCCCATCGGGCCAGGTGAGCTAGAAAATTCTATTTTAATATCTTGATAACTCACCTTAATGTTGTGTCATTTAACCAATGACTTAGATTATGACCTTGGTAAGAAATTCTACTAAATTGTTACACTACCACTGACCTAGACAACACTTTTGGTATTAAATTCCATCGAGGAGTCATAACACCTATGACCTTGACCTTGGTAAGAAATCTCACTTATATGCTGTATTAGCACTGACCTTGACTACGACCTTGCCAGCTACAATTCCATCTACAGTTGACTCAGCAAAGGGGTCAAACCGTCGGTCATTTCTCCTCATGAAGTCTGGTTTGAGTATGTAGCCTGAGCGGTTGTTGTACTCAAATATTCCAAGATTGAGCTGCATTGGTACGTTTACAAACAGAGAGAACTTCAATCAAACAAAACTCAACAACACCATTGAAATTTGCAAAAACGATAAGAATGTTGCAATAACAAGTCTCCAACTAAAGTCAATTTCAATAAAAAAATATCATTCAAAGCTTAATATTACACACTCATTGATGACATTTCTGTGGATTGTTTATCACTATGAAGATTGTAAATAAAGGGATGAGTTGTAAGAATACTAGTGTCATAATCACACTCTAGGATACCAGTATCACAGTAACAACCAAGGATACTTGTGTCATAATCACACCCTAGGATACCAGTGTCACAGTAACACCCAAGGATACTAGTGTCATAATCACACCCTAGGATACCAGTTTCACAGTAACCCCCAAGGATACTAGTGTCATAATCACACCCTAGGATACCAGTATCTCAGTAACACCCAAGGATACTAGTGTCATAATCACACCATGGGATACCAGTATCACAGTAACAACCAAGGATACTAGTGTCATAATCACACCCTAGGATACCAGTAGCACAGTCACAACCAAGGATATTAGTGTCATAATCACACCCTAGGATACCAGAGTCACAGTAACAACCAAGGATACTAGTGTCGTAATCACACCCTAGGATACCAGTATCACTGTCACACCCAGGGATATTAGTGTCATACTCACACCCTAGGATACCAGTATCACAGCCACACCCAAGGATATTAGTGTCATAATCACACCCTAGGATACCAGAGTCACAGTAACAACCAAGGATACTAGTGTCGTAATCACACCCTAGGATACCAGTATCACAGAAACACTCAGGGATATTAGTGTCATAATGACACCCTAGGATACCAGTATCACAGTCACAACCAAGTATACAAGTGTCACAACCACACCCTAGGATACCAATATAACAGTCACACCATACAATACTAGTTTCCTAATCACACCCTAGGATACCAGTATTACAGTAACAATCAAGGATACTAGTGTCATAATCACACCATGGGATACCAGTATCACAGTAACAACCAAGGACACTAGTGTCATAATCACACCCTAGGATACCAGAGTCACAGTAACAACCAAGGATACTAGTGTCGTAATCACACCCTAGGATACCAGTATCACTGTCACACCCAGGGATATTAGTGTCATAATCACACCCTAGGATACCCGTATCACAGTCACACCCAGGGATATTAGTCTCATAATCACACCCTAGGATACCAGTATCACTGTCACACCCAGGGATATTAGTGTCATACTCACACCCTAGGATACCAGTATCACAGCCACACCCAAGGATATTAGTGTCATAATCCCACCCTAGGATACCAGTATCACAGTAACACCCAAGGATACTAGTGCCATAATCACACCCTAGGATACCAGTATCACTGTCACACCCAGGGATATTAGTGTCATAATCACACCCTAGGATACCCGTATCACAGTCACACCCAGGGATATTAGTCTCATAATCACACCCTAGGATACCAGTAGCACAGTCACAACCAAGGATATTAGTGTCATAATCACACCCTAGGATACCAGAGTCACAGTAACAACCAAGGATACTAGTGTCATAATCAAACCCTAGGATACCAGTATCACAGTAACACCCAGGGATATTAGTGTCATAATCACACCCTAGGATACCAGTATCACAGTAACAACCACACAACCTATAATACTCTTATCACAACCACACAACCTACAATACTCGTATCACAACCACATGAACCAGACAATCCCACAATCAAGTTTACCTAAAGTTTGGAAATTCAATGCAACTAATTGGCAACCAGCATTCCAAAAGATCTGAAACAATAATAAGTATTCAGTTAAACAAAATATTATAATGTGTTATATCTTATGTATCAAATTGAGTTTGACTCATGATATGACTTTTTTATCATCCTATTACCTTAGCCTCTATCATATGACTTTAACTACAATCATATGACCTAAGCCACAATCGTGACCTCAGCTACCATATATGACCTTAAACACCCTAAAACCTCAACAAGAACAATGAATCATTTCAAAATAAAATTCACATTGGATATAAATATAGCTTCCTAGTACATCACATCAAGGTTTTGTTACTGATTTTGTCTGTTTAATACTTGACCTACACATTTACATTAAAAGGCTACGACATTAATACATGTACATGACCACCAAGTGATTTCTATCTATGTTTATTATAATATTTACTTTATTAGAGTGATAGGTTTGTTGGTTGATTACATACTTGTGGGAGAAAGTTACTGGAGTCGACTCGTGTTCCTCTCGGGTAGATCCTACTCATCTGTCTCTTGTTGTAACTGTACACAGGTCAAGGATCATACTACATTGTAGACTACCTTATCCTCTATAGAATTACATGTAAACTTTAGAGATATTAATGTTGTATTATGGGACCACCTGCACTTTGAGATGCTACCTGTATTAGCTATTACCTGTATTATATGATGCTCTGTAGGTAGAGACTACTTGTATTAGCTATTACCTGTATCATATGATGACCTGTAGGTAAAGACTACCTGTATTAGCTATTACCTGTATTATATGATGCTCTGTAGGTAGAGACTACTTGTATTAGCTATTACCTGTATCATATGATGACCTGTAGGTAAAGACTACCTGTATTAGCTATTACCTGTATCATATGATGATCTGTAGGTAGAGACTACCTGTATTAGCTATTACCTGTATTATATGATGCTCTGTAGGTAGAGACTACTTGTATTAGCTATTACCTGTATCACATGATGACCTGTAGGTAAAGACTACCTGTATTAGCTATTACCTGTGTCATATGATGCTCTGTAGGTAGAGACTACCTGTATTAGCTATTACCTGTATTATATGATGATCTGTAGCTAGAGACTACCTGTATTAGCTATTACCTGTGTCATATGATGCTCTGTAGGTAGAGACTACCTGTATTAGCTATTACCTGTATTATATGATGCTCTGTAGGTAGAGACTACCTGTATTAGCTATTACCTGTGTCATATGATGATCTGTAGGTAGAGACTACCTGTATTAATTACCTGCATGACGTGAACACCTGTATTGAGATGCTACCTGCATTGGCTATTACCTGTATTATATGATGGTCTGTATCTATAGATTACCTGTATTAGCCTATACCTGTGCAATGGGACAGGGAAAACTACAATGGATCAGACTGGAATTTGAACTGATTGTTGTCAACTTCTACACCGACACTCGAACTAAGCGAATTAATGATATAATTTTCACGGTAAATATACTTATTCCATTTAAAGGATACTTGACAAAGTCTACTGGGTATTCCTTTAGTAAACTCAGAGCCTGGGTTTCCACAAAAGACGAGATCTCATAACTCCTGTTTCTCTCTGGAAAAAAAAGTATATGTTTTTTTTAGGATAGACTCAAACTATATATGACTACTATTGTTAAATTTTGTAAATTTAAACAATTGTGAATCAGTTATGTATAAACTTTTTTTATTTTACAATAATTATGTTTTTACAACTTATACTAATCACTCTTGTTGGCCCAGATGTTAGTGCGAGTGGGGTCTTACTGTCGGAGGAAACTGGAGTACCTGGAGAAAACCCATGAGGTCGGGCAGGTGACCCCATACCTTTTTACGTCCAACTGCGGAATCAAACCCCGGTGGCCTTGGTGAAAGGCAAGTGCGCTATCCACTGCGCCACCCAACCACCAGTTGTTTGAAGCATGATCACAAGAAATAAATGTACATGAAACTAAAGTGTGTTACAGTCGTTTGAAAATATGGTTAATTCAGTGAGATGAGGGGGAGAGACATCACAACCTTTTTTTCAGAAAAACTTTTTTCCTAGATGAAAAAGACACAGCAATCCTTATACTGTATATATACACATTGTACTTTGTTCAGGTTTGTTACGAAGGATCATCAGATGAAAAAATAAAATTTATTACCAAAATGTCAGTCGAAGATCTTGAACCATTTTTAATGTGATTATCAACCACAACACTGAATGTCTATAAACCACAGCAAATCACACATTGGTTAGATTGTTTAGTAAATGTTGGAAACCGATTCTGGATTCAAGTAGCATTAGAGCAGGTAGATTACAGGAGATGGTCAATGTTCTGTCTCATCACATGCTGTCCAGAGGGAGCGAGGTAAAATCGTACTGCTGTGGAAATTAACAAATGGTAAATGACCAATCATATTACTATTTTTTTATATGGAATGTAATAATATAATGTCGACCTGGCCCCACACATATGAAACATTTCAAGGATGTAAAGCAGACTTACTATCTGAGATCTCAAAGGTGTGGAAGTGGACAGGCTGTATGTAGTTTACCAAAGCTGACATCTCTTGTCCGGCTTCAGCTTCTTTTCCTGCTGTACCCTACACACCAAAAGAAATGATTATATCTCATCATGTATATAACACTGAAATCTGATTGGATGACATTGTGGGAAAAACACTGTTTCCCTCCTGTGCTCTAGTTTCCCCAGTCATACTGCTATTTTGCTTATTCTGATCCTAGAAAATAAGCGAGATGCATCTAACATAAGCTCCGAGAGACTGAAGCAGACACCATCAACGTAAGCCTGATCACCTGTATCATTGCTCTATTTAGTTATAATAACATATATACTGCTCCTGTGGTAGGGAAACACAATTCATTGTTTCCCCTCGATTAATCATGTTCAATCTGGCTTTTCTCTTGTGAAACATGATTTCATGGAATATCGGGGAAATAAAGAAATCTGTTTTCAAACAACAAGGGCAATAAACGTATATTCTCACCTATCAACTTGCAATTTTTCCATAAGTACTTCTCTTATACTTTTTAATTTTATAAATATCTCATCCTATATAAGGTTTTAGAATCCATGTCCTCTCATACCTGTTTGCAAGACAGAGCTAGCTGGCCCATGTAATAAAGCAGTTAAACACAATAATAATATATACTGTTTTATACCCCCTACTGGTAGCATGATAGAGTCATTATAATGGGTTGAATGTCTGTATGAGAATACTCAGGAACAAGTTGAGATCGACTTGAAAACAAATTTTTCTATTTCTGTCCCTGAAAACTGTGATAATCTGTAATTACCTATAACTTGTGAGATAATGTTATCCTAGTTGAAAACTAAAATTCTGTATTAACATGATCTTAACAGAGGAACAAGCAAAGGTTGACTGGCATGTGGACACATACATTGCCTTGTGAAATTTTGCATGTTAAATTACCAGACAGATGAAACGAGATAGAAAAACTATAGCATGGTGTATCCTTGTTTGAAGTGCAAGAAATCTATCATACATGGTATTTCAGGAACATGGCAGAAATTGTGACATCACATTTAAAACAAAATCAAAATGACATGCTCTATAATGAGATGTTTGAAGCCTGGGCCAGGAAAATCACTATTTTCACTATCAATATATATGTTTGTGCTTCTTATGTTTGAAAAGACACGAGAGAAAAATATTCTTAAGTCTCTTAGTCCTACCTCTACCTATTCAACGTTCCGAATCCATTTTTTACTTCATCATATTTAAAGTTATAGAGCCCTACCAGAAATCATGTGTGAAATCCTACCTTATCTTGCTTGAAGTTACTACTTTTTATCTGGCTCTGTACTTCTTCCTCCTCTTCAAAGTCACTCTCGTCTGATTCTGATTCCTCGTCAGAATCAATAGGTTTTTCTGCAGTTGTTCCCTCCCCACTCTCACTCTCCGTGCGCGACTTCATCTCGGAGGCTGTGGACGGCGTGGAAACCACCTTCTCATTTCCTCCCCCTCCATCACCATCTCCGCCTCCACCACCTTTGGTCTCCCCATTTACCTGAACCATTTTACTTGAGCTGGGCGTGCTCTTCAAAGGAGTTTGGACCTTTGCTGTAATATAACGTACTGTGACTTAAAAAGGTTCACCACTATTATAGACCAATAAATTTAACTGGCATCATTCTTTTTTTAACATGAATGCAATAAATCACTGGATAACATTACAACAATTAAATTTAAACCAAAGAATTGAACACAATTATTCGCGAAACAATAACTTAAAACACCAATACATCAAAATGAAACTTCTGTTGATTTTGACGTCCTGTCAACTATAACTCAGATCCACAGACAGCTATTTATCGTGACAAGATTAGTAATCAACTTAACTCCACCAAAATATCAGAGTTCAAATTCAGCAAAACATTGCTGGTCATTTTTTTTTTCTTTTTTCTAATATTTATTTCTGGAGATTCAGAACAGTTGATATGATGATCATATTTTCCTGGGATTCAGGTCATTTACATTTATCAACTGCCTTAAGAGGTAGAGAAGTTGATTGATGTTTGAATACAAAGCTTTGTTTACCAGGTCTTGGTTTGTGAGAGTGCCGCTTCTTGTTTTTTATTATAATCTTGCACCTTAACTGGTGTGGACTTGGTAAAGGGTTATCAGGTTCAACCTACAAAAGTCATTTTACATTATTAAATTACTGTGGTGAAAGTGGGACAAATAAATTTGTAAATCCGAAAAAATCTAAATTACACTATACAAAAGAAACACAAAATAAGAGTATAAGAAAGGACAGAAACTGCAATGAGTAGTAATTTGAATACCATTTCGCTGTTCCCCGTTGTTTCAAACTTAATGCAGATTAAGAAGTCAAGTAAAACACCTACTCGCTGTTCCCCATTATTTCAAACTAAAAATGATTTAGTCAATGTATTTCTGGTTTGCACTTAATGATAACTATATTATAAAGTAGAGTTTGACCTCTCTTACGTTCCCTACATACCGGGTGTGTCTCCAATGGCTCCGTCAGTAACATATCTCCAAATATATTTCTACAGTGAGCCGCCATCTTTGCCTGCTGCCTTGGTCTGTAATATATGGTGAACATGTAACACAGTGATGTATTGGTGGGGGCTATTTATGTGTGTTAGTGGATATTTATACATACTTAAGGCACCGGTTAAGAGCACAATACTTTCACATTTTTTATATACTTGTATATGGAAATTATATGGAAATTCATATTTTGATAAGATATCACACGTCATGAACCTATTTACTGTATTTGCATTGTTGGAGATTTTAATGAAGTAATCCTTACGAGCAGTGGTTTTCAAAGGACAGGGACACTGGGAAATCACTCGTCTTGAAGGCACTTTCTGCAATGGCTTCAATAACTTCCTGTAAAACAAATGGACTTTTAGTCATCAATAATACAACACAAATCTTGCCAGTCTTACAATACTGTTACACAGAATAATCCAAGTACTGAAAATACTGCAAGGCAAATTTTAGTAAAATATTGCTCTCAAATATCTGTATACAATGTGATCTGGGTGAGATGCACAAACCTTAAATGATACATCAGCACACATGGTGTAGCCATGGTGATGTACAAACCTTAAATGAGATATCAGTACACATGGTGTAGCCATGGTGATGTACAAACCTTAAATGAGATATCAGTACACATGGTGTAGCCATGGTGATGTACAAACCTTTAATGAGATATCAGTACACATGGTGCAGCCATGGTGATGTACAAACCTTAAATGAGATATCAGTACACATGGTGTAGCCGTGGGTGATGATTGGCTCTTCATCTGCACCACGCCCATCCCAGCAATCCAGTTCTATACAGCGACACCCACTGAGCAGCACCTGTCTGTACAGCTCCACTGACGACTTACTGGTCAACTGATGACCTACGAAAATAGATGTCAATGGTCAGTGATATGTAGTATATTGTTAAGAGTCTAGACACATTTTATTTAGAAAGGAAAGGAGCTTTTTTCTTTGTTGCCAACTCATCATTTTTTGTTTATAGAAATCAGAACGTATTGTGTTATACAATGTACCTGTATGGTATGTGTTACCTGTTAAGTATGTGTTGTGACTGGAGTTGATAAAATAGTGAGAAATAGGTTGAGTCATGTCGTGGCTCAGATCCAACAAGTCCGGGGCGATACTCTGGTTCTCATCACTCATCAGGAACATGAGAAATCCTTCCTGTGACAGATGGCCTACAACATATATAGAAATATCAACTACTGTCCCTGAGCTATACAAGTCACATGACCATCTCCGAGCTACATAACAGCCACATGACCATCTCCGAGCTACGCAACAGTCACATGATTGCCCCTGAGCTAGACAACAGTCACGTGACCATCTCTGATCTATACAACAGTCACATGATCAGCACTGAGCTACACAAGTCGCATGACTGTCATTAAACTTTCACAACAGTCACATGATCAGCACTGAGCTACACAAGTCCCATGACTGTCATTAAACTTTTACAGCAGTCACATGATCATCAATGAGCTTACACAACAGTCACATGACCATCTCCGAGCTACACAACAGTCACATGATTGCCCCTGAGCTACACAACAGTCACGTGACCATCTATGATCTATACAACAGCCACATGATCATCAATGAGCTTACACAACAGTCACATGATCATCACTGAGCTACACAAGTCACATGACTGTCATTAAACTTTCACAACAGTCACATGATCATCACTAAGCTACACAAGTCACATGACTGTCAATGAGCTTACACAACAGTCACACATGACTGCCTGAGCTACAAAACAGTTGTGTGATGATCCCTGAGATATACAAATGTCATATGACTGTCTCTGAGCTACTAAACATTATATTTCTTATATGTATTTTTTAAAATTTCTATATGGCAATTCATTGTTGTTAGTTGTGTCAGAATGAATTTAAAGCTCTATGGCTCCTGGTTCTGGATACAATTACATGACTTTATAACTACGTACTAAAACCTACCAAATACCCACCTAGATACAGGACATTGTAGATGCTATAATATATATATGTATATATATATATATACAAGAATATTTCTCTAAATACTGAGAGCGGTCCAGAAATTACCAATAGGATCAATATAACAAGAAATATCTTACAAAAATAATCAGCATAATTTTTAAATGACTTTTTTTCATTAATTCAGTGTTTCAGCGTGGGCCTACTTTTCCTGGGGATCATAGGTGAAATAGTACAGGCGATATGCTCTGGACAAAGTATGACAGGGCAGATCATGTACAATCCTTTATGTAGTCCAATCCAGTAGTACTGGCTAAGGACAGTAAATCAAATGTAAGAGATATTTAAGTATTCTACTTTATAATTCCAAGGCTAAATTTTTCTCGAATATCAACCTGTATCTGGAAAGAACATATGATATATTGCAGCATGAACTATTTCACACACCATAACACTGTGCATTTACAGGTGTGAGAAACCCAGGCCACTCTAAAAACCTTCAAGTGCTTACATCAATTTCATTTAGTGCACATAGATACTGTACCAATAATACAAGCAATATTGTCCAGTTTCAAATGCTGGTGGCCTTCCCCTTTTACACTTTACTGTCAAACATGCTAAGTAATTGCAGTGCAACTGCCTGATATATATATTTTTTAAATTAGTTTACACCATTATGTGATTTTTTCCAATGAAATTAACTTAAGACTCTGACATGTGAAAATATGCATATATACTTCAAAATTCATGCAATCTATCTCTTTTGCGTGGACTTTTAATCACATAATCAAAAGTATATGTTTATTACAATCATTTTTATTTTAGATTTGATTAAAATATGGTCCAGTCCATAAAAATTAAACATACTTTAAACTGACAAGAAAACAACCAGATTTGGTTAACTCATTCACCCCTGAAGTTTCATAATGAACTATTCAATCCTTAAAATGGAAGAGTTCAAATGTGTCTTCAGGGGTGAATGAGGGATTTTGTTTGTAACGGCCAGATCAAACCAAACTTGATTAGGTCAGCGTTAGACATTTAAGTTACAATGAAGATCCAGATGAACAAAAAGCAAGATTCCATTGGAAAGTTTATATTCTCTTGAATTCTTTTGTAAAATTAACTAAAATTTGTGATAAGACTTTCTTTGTTTACTGCAAATAAAATATTAAGCCATTTTTCAACTACTTGTTGCAAAAACAAGGGTAACTTGGCTACATATGCAAACAAAACTGTTTCTACTACATGCAAGCACACAGGTAAAATCCCTGCTACTTAAGGTGAATAAACCTGCAAAAATGTGCAGTTGTAATCACATAAACAAAATTGCCTAATGGTTTCTACTCTTTGTGTAAAACCTGTGAAACAAAACAAACAAAAGATATTTTTTCTAAGAGAAACAAAGTAATCTAATTGCAGCTAAAACAGAAATCTTCCCAATCAATTATGGGCATAGCCACTCTATACACCCATCTCACAAGGCATAGCTCAAGTTGTCTGTTTATCGAAAATAAGCCAACAATTTACTTTTCAGTTTCCAGTCAACAGGTAAACTCATATTCTCGTTCTTTATAGACACAGAATTTCATAATGATTTATCGCAATATACCGTTTGTAGACATTATACCCGACTTTACTGCGATAAACATAAATACTGTATCATGCCCAGGAGGTCTTAGTTCTTACAAAATATGAGCATGGTTTTTCCAATATTCTACCCTATCTGCAAAACATTTGCTTATTACTTAAAAATAGGTTTGGGTATCTCAAGTAAAATCTGTTAAACAGCGACATCATTGGACTTGATTTTGTATTTTTAAGGAGCTGGAGTTTCCATGATAGAGAAAATGTTTGATGAGGTTATGTCATGTGAGATGGTATTATACGCCAGCATGCTGTCATGGTATAGTAGTGTCTATACAGGTCATGCCCATCTCTTACCTGGCTCAACATCCCCTTTAAAGTTACAAAGAAGGAAAAGAGAAAACGGCAATGCATATATTGAAAAGCATCCAGTATAATGAAGATTCCATAACATCATTCTGCTAGGCATTTCAATTTTTTAATGAAAAAGTTTCGGAAAGAATCATTCCAAAAGTACAGCTGTGAAAATTAAGACAAGGAATATTGTTATTTGCTGTCTCTTTGATTTTTTGTAGCAAATATTGATACAGATACAAAATTACTGGCATTTATAAGGAAGAATGTCACAAAAACCATTACATACAATAACATGCCATTGAGAGATAGATGAAAAAATATATGTTAAACAATTTTAAAACACCAATCAGGATAAAATTTAAAAATTTAAAAAAAGAATTGGAAATATATAGGTTATAAGTTGTATGCGAGAGATAAATTTAATTGTTAGGTTATATAATCATGTAGCTGACCTGTCCTCCACCATATAAACTGTAAACCATTTGTTAGGTAGCGACTCTATAATACGATGTCAGTATTATTATTGCTATTCATCATCTAATGCTCCTTCACCATCTTATATAAAAAACTAAAGGCATTCTATACAGCATATTATATGTTATAGACTTTCTATAAAACTGTGATAAAATTGACATATTATTCTATTCTCCCAGCAGCTTATGTGGTGAACTACTTAATCCTGTTAGTCTGGTGGAGTTACCTACCCTTGGCAGCCATGCCAGTCTTAGTCTCGTAGGTGTTTATCAGGTCCTGGGCTTGCTTTGTGGTGTAGTAAGGATACAAGATCTCATTCAAACGCGGATCTCTCTGCTCACGGTTTAGGAATTCTACAAACTGGTCCACAGTTAGGTACGGCTTCTTTTTGGCACCACTGAATCAGTCAAATAGGATAACTTATGATTTCTTTTTATATGTTTAGGTTGTTAATTCAATACCAATCTTTATACTTTCTGATTAACCTTTAACCTCTTAATCATGACAAGGATATATACAGAATCAGGTTTATTGTTAAAACCAGAAGAATGCAGCAGTAACTTTACTGGGAGTTATGAGTTTACTGGTAAAGAGCTTGTAGAAAATGACAAAAGTGTTGGAGAACCAACACAATTATAGGCAAAGGAGTCGCAGCGTCCTGTAGGTGAGAGTTGGTAGATGTCTTGATGGAGGAATCTGAAGTGGATACCGGAGTATTCTAGTAGAGCTCCATGGAAGGGAGGTAAATACAAGTATACAAGCATTCTGTAACTGTTATTAGTTTACATGTTTCGGATGGCTAGGCCGACCGTCATCAGAACAGTGCAGAGCTTGTATGAGGTTGTATGTTTGAGGATTTCTATATGCTGTTGTGACTTACATCTCGTCAAAAACCTTGTCCACCTCAGTCCTTCCCACTAAGTGGCGGTAGAAGTTGAAAAATCCATCAAATGTAAATCTGTTTGGATCTATGGTCTCATTCTGAAATCATAAAACATTTGGCATCACCATCTAATATGATAAGAAGGTGTGGTGGTCGTTTTTTCTGATTTGTTCACTGTTGTTCTGAGCTGCCGTCTTGGATTTTGAATAGACCCCAAGCAGTGTTTGGTCAAGACAATATTACTGGGTATTACCAAAGTACGAAATTTGACGTTGAATAACGCTCAATCAAAAGCAACTGTATACATATCTAATGACAAATGATAGGTTACTACACATTTTGTATGAAGTTTACATACAAAATCTTCTATATATGGTTTTGATTTATTCATCTGGAAATTTTACCAAACTTGAACGATAAATCAATGTTAAGTTAAAACATACTTTCTAAATTTGACTTAGAGTTCAGAAATGAAAAGTTCAACATTGAAATAACAGCAACATTACCCTACCTTGCCTGCATTAAAACCCACTCCCTCAAGAGCCTTCTCCACACGTCGCCGGTCCTCTGCATGTTTAGCAACCATCTTCACGATACTGTACAAATATAAGCATCAAAATGTTCTAGATCAAAACAGAACCCAATCAGTAATGGTCAATCCTTTGATTTGTTATAAAAGACTAGATGATAAATTGCAGAGACAGGATCTAGAGGGTTTTCTGGAACAACATCTGTTTTCTGAACCCCTTTTCTGGTCTCTAGATCTACCAAAGCATTTCATGATTCTGATGACCAGATTATAATTAAGATCTTCTGTTTTCGTGTTAACCAATTTAGTGATGAGACACTAAAATTATTTTTAACATCAAAAATACACAAAAATCAGCTTCATTTGTTGACTGATTTTCAAAATAGGTTAACACATGCAAATATTCAATATTACTCGGAAAATATGATTCACTTAATTGCTGGTAGATACGATACTAAACTGCAGTATAATGCTGAAATGAACTAATATCTTGGTGGGTACGTATTTATCTGGCAATAAGCCCATGCCTGGTAATAAGCTTACCCATATCTATAGCAGTTCTGAAGAAATGCCAACAAATGTTTTTCCATTTTCCTGTACTAGTCCCACCCACCTACATGGAGCCCATACTTGCTAACATTTTGAAATTTCCATGGATTCTGCATGCTCAAAATTAAACCATAAATCAAATGTGTGTATACACCCCCTAGAGACAAAATAACCCTTTAAAATGTTCTTTCAGATGAAAGTTGAAAACACTAAATTTAAGGGTCCAAAATCGGGAGACTCCCTCCTAAATAGGGAGGGTTGGCAAGTATGCTAGTCAGAGTTTGTGTTGGCCCCTGGGCTTATTGCAGGATAAATACAATATGTTACCAAATATTTTTCTGCAATAAATGACAGGTATTACTGAAATGACCCAATTTCTTGATAGGTATGTTACTGTACAGTACTACTGAAGTTAAACTAACTTTTTGACAGGTATGCGTCCGTTGACATCCAGTACATGTGTGAGTTTGGTGTGGGCCTTCTCCAGATAGGACAGGGCGCTTGCGTTGAGGGCCAGAAGGTTGTTGGCATACTTGAGTAACTCTTCACACCATTCCTGTACGTAATAGAAAGAATCTAATAACTTCTACAATGTATACATGTACATTTTATTTTGCTTTATATCACTCGTCACTTGTAAGAGAGAAACAATATAAAGTAAAAGGTGATATAACAAAACGTGATGTTTCATAAATTTAACGAGACAGATACTTCCCCCAATTAATAATTTACTTTAATTTCCAAAAATAAATATAATACTATGTTATTTGATTAAATTTTTACATAAAATACTTGAAATGACATAAATGAAAACCTGATGATAAAAGATATTGATAACAGATAGTTAGCCAGACACATGTATTTAATATTCAATTTCTATGTCTGTAGTCTATACACATACCTAAAACAGAAATTTAATGACTAATTGAATTGCACAGTCTGCGCAAAATCTATCTATTTTATCTTAGAAAGGTTACTTTGTGACATCATTTTGAAAACAGCATGCAACATTGGAAAATAGTTTTCACAAACAGTCACATGTTTGGTTTCATTCGAGTTGGATAATATAATAGATTATGCATACATGTACTGTGATAGTATTATGAATTATGTATACATGTACTGTGAGACGAGAAATTTATCGCCAATTCCCATTGTATTTTTTGTTTGTTCTGGTATCCTGGCTAGGCGTAACACAAGAATTGTAACGATTTGTTACCGACACAGAGAAATGGCATTGACACAATTGTAACTTGACATCAATGGACAATTGAAACTGGCTTGCATTCTATATCAAACTTAGTGCTTTATTTTTCATTTTTCAAAGAAATCAGATATTTTTATCAACTTAAACAATGCATAAGGCACCAGTTAAACCATAAATACAAACAGTATGTATATATAACTTCATACCAAGTTTCACTCTCCTCGATCACCTTAATTATAGTTCAGTGGTATCTATCGACACTGAGGTAGCCTATATTGTCACATGTAACATATGGAGGTGACTCTGTTAAAGGTGGGTAGAAATCCTACATAATGTACATATATATCATCAGATTTTCCAACCTCAGTAGAAATTTCGATGAGTAATACCTACGCAGGATAATAATGACCTATTTTATCAATAGTGTTAAATAGGTTTATACTGAATATACAATGATACTTGTGGAGTTTGTAGACATGCTATAAATACAGTACAATTTCTAGCATCCTAGTGAGAGCGAGGGCAACACAAACTTTTAGGTGTTACAGACACCTATAGACAAACAAATGATGCATAGTTCAACTTCCTGTACTGCCCCGGGTGTCACAGGAAGTGGCTGCACTACATAGCCACATGCGGAGCCAAACATAAAGGGCTCAAGACGAAGTCATGTAATAAACTGAAAGGTATATCTGGCAGAGGTTGCTAAAGTGGGTATATGTTTAAAGACGGTAACCAGCAGAGACACATATAACCAAAATAGACTTTGTGATACTGAATTATAGTTAGAATCATCCACAAACACATTCTGTGGGGTTGACTATGTTAGATTGCAGTACCTGAATACAGCCCTGAAAAGAAACATTGATCAGTTGGCTATGTTCAACAACAGCATTCATTTACTGACAGTGAGATCCTCACACTTTGTTTCCCAAAGAACTAAATGATCAAATCACTCAAGAAGTAATCAGTTTCCTAAACAGTAACATTTGTTGAAGCTGATGAAGTAAGGAACCATCACAGTGACATACAAATAAATCTAATGATCCTTATTGAGACGACACCTTATAAACAGGAAGCTCATTGTCAGACATTTTTACTGGTGTATTGTATATTGACAGATTATTGTCACCTTTGAGTTTTTGCTCTCCTTTCTATTGTATTTACAGAAACTTTTTTCTGCATTTGTACAGGTGTACATTTGTACACTGTACAAAATTTCGAAGGAAATCTCTTATTAAATACAAATAAGAGGCCCAATGGGCCTGCATCGCTCACCTGGTATTAATCTCACAATTGTAACCTAAAAAGTGGACTAAAACAAAGCTACAAGCAAAATATCAGTGTCTTGACTTTCATTCAGAAGAACCTGTTGAATGATTTTAACACATTTGACCCTTGTGACATTGAAAGTCAAACATGGACTTTTAATTTAACAAACTTTATAGCTTTCATCCCAGAATGCAACTTGTCAAATAACACCACCCTAATGGCCCTATACGTTTTGTTTATTGAGAAGATGACTTTTAAAGATTTATGCACTGTGGACCAGGTGTGAACAAACTTGGACAAACTTGGTAGCCCTTTATCCCATCATGTTACGGGCCAAATATCATCATCCTGCACCTTTTGGTTATTCAGAAGAAGTTGTTTAAAGGTTTCAAACATATTTGACCCCTGTGACTTTGAATACAGGTCATGGTCATTCATTTGAACAAGCAATCCCCCTGGATGCCTAAGTATTCAGAAGAAGTCGTTTTTTTTAGTGTTTTTTAGACAAATAACCCATGTGACCTTGAATATGGGCGAAGGTCATTCATTTGAACAAATTTCGTAGCCCTTTATGCCAACATCCTAGTCTGGCCAAATATCACCACCCTGGACCTTATGGTTATTCAGAAGTTATTTAAAGGTTTCAAACCTATTTGACCCCTGTGGCTTTGAATACAGGGCAAGGTCATTCATTTGAAAAAACTTGGTAGACCTTTATCCTATCATGTTACGGGCCAAATAGAATCATCCTGCACCTTTTGGTTATTCAGAAGTTATTTAAAGGTTTCAAACCTATCTGCCCCCTGTGACTTTGAATACAGGACAAGTTCATTCATTTGAACAAACTTGGTAGCCCTTTATTCCATCATGTTACGGGCCAAACATCATCATCCTGCACCTTTTGGTTATTCAGAAGTTATTTAAAGGTTTCAAACCTATTTGACCCCTGTGGCTTTGAATACAGGTCAAGGTCATTCATTTGAAAAAACTTGGTAGCCCTTTATCCTATCATGTTACGGGCCAAATAGCATCATCCTGCACCTTTTGGTAATTCAGAAGAAGTTGTTTAAAGGTTTCAAACATATTTGACCCCTGTGACTTTGAATACAGGTCAAGGTCATTCATTTGAACAAACTTGGTAGCCCTTCATCCCAGCATACTACTGGCCAAATATCATCATCCTAGGCCTTCTGGTTATTCAGAAGATATTGCTTCAAGATTTTAACGTGTTTGACCCCTGTGACCTTGAAAATAGGCAAAGGTCATTCATTTAAACAAACTTGGTAGCTCTTTATCCCATCATGCTACTGGCCAAAATTCAGAAGAAGTTGTCTAAAGCAAAAAGCTTTTGACGGATGGACGCTTCACCATAGCATAAGCTCACTTGGCCTTTTGGGCCAGGTGAGCTAATAATGAACATAAAGTTGTATACATTTGTCAAATTATCCTCAAAGACCCCAAGTGGAATCATTCGCTAAAACTTATTTGAGTTATCTTGATACCAGACCTCCCAACCAACACAAAGAGGTACTTTGATACCAGACCTCCCAACCAACACAACATCTATTTACTTTGACTTCAGACCCACCACCAACATATTGTCAACTTACCTTAACTACAGATCTCACAATAATGCCTTACCTTGGCCACAGGCTTGCTGGCACACACAAAGTTGATAAAGTCAACATCCACCATGTTACATTTGGAGGGGTCCTTGTTGTAGGCAATGGTAACTGTCTTATCCTCCAAAGGACAGTCCACTGTGCCTATCACACATGTGTCCCTCAACTTTCCTTCCTGAAACATAAATCATTATATTAGGTAAGCGTGTATCTGATTTAGAGTTTTGTTAGGAGTTTCGCCAAAAAAAATGGAGCTGTCAATATAATCAAGAGCAAAATAATCATGATTTCTCCCAAAATTCACATAATCATGTTCTATTTAACCTGATTTAGATTTCTCTGTCACCCCAAGGATATGATTTTTCTGTCAACCCCTTTGGGTATGACTTTTCTGCCACTCCAAGGGTACGATTTCTCGGTCACCTAAAGAGTAAGAATTCTCTATCAACCCAATGGGTCAGATTTTTCTGCCAACCCCAATATTTACATTACACAATGCCATCATAATGCAAAAGAAAGGGACGGTGACATCTCGGGAGCAATTAAACATGATGTCACAGTGAGCTTTCAACAGAAGAAAACATGGAAAGCAGGAGAAAAAACAGATGACAGATGCTGATAATGATTCGTTTTGGAACATGTTAGTAATGGAATGGGCAAAAAACCATCATTTCCACTGTGGAGGAGTACAAAAAGAGCATAGTTCTAAATGTCTAATCCCCAGCTTGAGCCAAGGATCAGGTTAGACAACCAGAATAGCTAGCTCAAAATACCCTCAGCATAGCCAACTTCTCATAGTCTTAGTAAGGTTAACATTCAACAGTCTCTATATTCCTCAATCTCATTAGGGTACATCTGGCTATCTCTCAATACCTTTGGTATGGCTAACTACCCACAGTATGACCAACTCTCACATAGCCAACACTACATATAGCCGGCACTCTGCTTCGACACTATCTATTGGGATAGCCAAAGTAAAGAAGTTTGGAGGACCTGTATATTAATCATCAGTCAAGTTTAGAGTGTGTAGGTATTTGATTTTTGTTTTAAAGTATTCCCGACAGCTCTTGCTCCTATTGATTTTCTGTGTGGCTAGGCTTTAGTTTGTAGAGATTGATTTTACTGCCGGCTAAGGCATGTTTCAGGTCTGGCATCGTTATCTGAGAATTCTAAAACCTCTGATATTATCTGATTAACTCAAAACCCATGAAATTGTAACAAGTTAACCTTTGATATTTTCATTCTTACAAAAATTCAATGGAAATTCATTCTAAACATTAAATAAATCTTGAATCTAGAAAATCCTCCATCTGACCTCCAAACAATTAAAATAACCTGGATGACCGTGAACATCACGTATTAACACCAACCCCAGGAATCAGCAAGCATTTGACACTTGCTCAGTGGTGATAGGCAGACTACCTTTGAGATGCTGTCTACAGTTGCTGTTGTGTGTCTAGAATGCAGTTTATTGATTCAGCTGTAAACGATGATACCATCTAATTGACCCACAACATTTTAAACATTTATTAAATCAACCTATACCCAAGTCACGATGGTGTAATTAATACAACACTTTACGAAAGAATGCGGCCTGTTTCAGACACAAGTTTTAAATGGTGTAACCTTCAATTTGTGCTACATTTTATGGTGATACATTTTGCTAAATTTTGACATGCGAATCAATGTAACATAACCTGCCAGCCAATCTGTAACTTAAAATTGCCTAATGGAAATCCGTCTGTTTCCATCATATCAAAGATATAACCCTTTATAGGCTTACAGTGCAATATGGGCTGTCTTACTAATTCTCAAAAACAGTGCCCTATATCAGATCTCTTAGGGAATGTGACCGAGTTTTCAACCAATTGAAAAAGAGTATTGTGGTTTTTTTCAGAGCTGCACTGCCCCCTGTCATTCTTCCATACTTGTATTAAATAACTGCAGTCGTCCTGTTCTAGTGAGTGTGACATGCGTATGACAGACCTGTACCTGATTGGCAGAGATTAGCACACGCGGCGGAGGCAGTAATCTCTCCTCTCACAGGTTCCTGTCGCAGATCTAAGCAGTGACCGAATTGAATACTTGTGGAGGTTTAAGTAGACAGGTAGAGACAGGGCCATCATTGCGCTCTATTGTCAATATCCAGCCTAAATTAGCTGTCAAACAATTACTGCTGCTTAAACGTAGATCAATTGCATCAGGGTTTGGTCTATGGATTGGTGGAGTTCCCACTCATCCTCGGTCAGACCCCACACTTGCTGTCCATACTTTGTGCAGATTGTAAACCACTTTTCATGAAATGATTCATCCATGATCAATATGTTCCATGCTACAAGACTGCACTTTAACAAGCTTGCATGTCTCAAACTCTGTTCATCAAGCAATGAAAGCAATATAACTGTAAACATTACCTCTGTTCAGGGGGATTCAGACTCGATTTCATCAGACTCAAAATCAACCCACTACCTAAACACATGCAATCATACATTTCACGAACAACTAACTATCTTAAAATGGACGATCATAATGAAATCTGTGTCCATACCACTAGAATCCAACTGCTACCCATCGGAGATTATAAACTCATTTCAAAATCAACTCAATATCTTGACATACATTCATCTTTTTTTTTATGTGGGATCAAATTTTCTGCAGATATTTCCATGCTTTTTGAGATCTCATCGACTGGTGTCACCTCCCATACCAACAAGCCTAAAGTATCTCCATCTAGATATTTTGTTCTACTAAGATTATAAATTAATATTTTTCAAAAATGAATTGGTCGTTTTTTTCCTTTAAAATTTCTGACATGGAGTTCATATGATGATTAGAATGTTAGTGTCCAAATTTGCCAAAAAAAAAAATGAAAATAGTAAGAAAGATTTGCCGAAAACACTGTGATGATCAACAAGCAGCCAAACTGTTCCATCCATACCTTATAATCAATTGTGAATATTTGAAATTGTGTTAAATTTTCTCTTTTCCAAATATCACGAACTTTTGCTGATGACTAAAAGCAGCTTCTAAACAAAGAGAATATTTATCTGACATTATATAATCTCAATTAGCTCATTACCGTTATAGAGGTTGGGATAACACAGCGTATTGTGGTACACTATGTAGTAATTATATTTACCCTAATGTAATCTCACTTGATGGATGTAATTTGAAATCCTCAGTCATTGTATGATGTTGTTTTATGTTTATAGATCCACAGATTGTTCTGTCAATTTGTTCTAGATGTTATTTGAACTTGAATATTTATCTAATCCTGTAAAAAGTGAAATGTAATCAGTTGTTATAACTCACGAACAACGTCCAGTAAACGTGACTCTCTAAGTAGGTCATGTATCCATAATACGTAATTACAAAAAAATGCCACAAAAATACGGCTAGGGAACCAGTTGATAAAACGATATAACAGGAAACCATCAATTTTCTAATTACAGTAAACTGACCGAAATCACTCGCAGTGCAATGAACCCAGTGGAATATTTTGCATTCTTTCAACAAATTAATTTTTCGGCAAATTATAGATGATTGAATCTTGTACACCATGAATTCTTTTATGAGGTTTATCTAGTCGAATATAGAGATCCCATGTTTCAACTGCTTCAAAAACAAAAACAATGTGACATTTTCAACTTGTTACTGATCTATTTCTTTCAGGATATATTCAAATACATCTTGTTTTATTTCAGTGAATTCTGTTGTGTTAATGAACAACTTTAAAACCCCACAAAGTAACGAAGAATTACGATACCTATCTTATGACCAACAAGGTACCAACGTTATGGTATTCAGACATTCTCCATTGTGTTATATAAGAGCCCCAGAGGGGCTTGTATCGCTTACCTGGATATCAAAGTAATCATGGCAAAATATCCTCCAAATAAGATCCAAGGGAATGGACTAGACCCAGAGGCCAATTCTTGTATCATATCTGTATTAGATTTTTCATGCCCAGCAATTTTATTTATGGTTATGGGGTGGGGATCTTAACTGTTTCAAAGGTGTGACTCAGAAACTAGGTCCCTAGGGTTGTGGCCAGACCCAAGGATCAATTATAATATCATGACTGCATTCGTCTCTTTATGCCAAGCATTTGTATATACAGTTTTGGGGTGGGGATCTCAACTGTTTCAAAGTTATGACCCAGTGATTAAGTCTGTGAGGGTGGGGCAGCCCCCAGAGTCAATTCTAATATCATGACTGCATTTGTCTATACCTAACAATTGTATATATAGATTTGGTGTGGTTTGAGTCTCCAAGGGTGGGGCAGACCCTGGGGTCAATTCTTATATAATGACTGCATTCGTCTCTTTATGCCTAGCATTTGTATATACAGTTTTGAGGTAGGGATCTCAACTGTTTCAAAGTTATGACCCGGGGACTATGTCTCCAAGGGTGGGGCCAGACCCCTGAGCAATCCAGGAAGCATATGTGCATTCTTCTCTTTATACTCAGCAATTGTATACCATGGTTATAAAGTGGGTATCTCAACCATTTCCAAGCAACAACTATTTTTGGCCCCACCCTTTAGCCAAGGGGGTCAGCCCCACTACTTGTACAATTTGAATCCCTACCTCCCATAAAAGCTTCTGACCAAATATGATGGATATCCAGTGCATAGTTCTACAGAAGTCGTTTAGAGCAGTTTAGCCAAATTGCCCCCTTTTGGCCCCACCCCTCAGCCCCCTGGGAGGTCAGCCCCACCATTTGTACAATTTTAAATCCCCACTACCAAGGGATGCTTCCAGTCAAATATGGTTGATGTCCATCTTTCAGTTGTAGAGAAGAAGTGGCTTAAAGCAATATAGCCAAATAACTCTTTTTGGCCCTGCCCCTCAGCCCCATGGGGGTCAGCCCCACCATTTAAACAATTTTGAATCCCCGCTTCCCATGAATGCTTCTGACCAAATATGATTAACATCCATTGCCCCCTTTTGGCCCCGCCCCTCAGCCCCCTTGGAGGTCAGCCCCACCATTTGTACAATTTTAAATCCCCACTACCTAGGGATGCTTCCAGTCAAACATGGTTGATGTCCATCTTTTAGAAGTTGCTTAAAGCAATATAGCCAAATTGCCCCCTTTTGACCCCGCCCCTTAGCCCCCTGGGGGGGTTTACCCTACCATTTGTACAATTTTGAATCCCAACCACCTAGCTAGGGATGCTTCCATTCAAATTTAGTTAAACTCCAATTAGTGGTTAAGAAGAAGTCGTTTGAAGAAATTGTTGACATAAGGACAACGGATGCCACGGTATGGCAGGACCAAGGTGAGCTAATAAATGACTGAACATAGAGATTTCTTGCAACATTTGATGAAAAGATGTGTAAAACATTGAGTGGTTAGGGTTAGATGATGGTTTTGTTGTTGGTGTTTCATGTATTTCCAACAGTCGTTATGGTGATGGTGTCAACACACAGCTATCACACTGAAATATGCCACGGCTCAGACATGGCAGCATGACATTACATCTAGTAGTATTATTATATCAATAGGCTGGCTAAAGGTGCCTACAGGAAGACAGAAAAGAAAGAGTTCTTCATTGTAACAAAAGGTAAGAACAAATAAGCGTTAGAAGACAGACATGCCAAGTGTTGTGACAGGTAAGAACAGATAGGACAGAAAAGGCAAAGGTACAAAGTGTTGCCACAGGTAGGAACAGATAGGCCAGAATAGACAAAGGTACACAGTGTTGCCATAGGTAAGAACATATAGGCCAGAATAGACAAAGGTGCAAAGTGTTGCCTCAGGTAAGAACAGATAGGCAAGAATAGACAAAGGTACAAAGTGTTGCCACAGGTAAGAACAGATAGGCCAGGCCAGATGAGGCAAAGTTACAAAGAATTACAACAGTGAAGAAAAATCGTAAGAAGACCGAAAAGGTAGACATCTCAAGTGCTTCATTGGGGGCATCAGATCATTTTTGCTCTCTTTGATGTCTACTGATGAGAGAAATAAGGAGAATAATGCCCCAAACTCTGCACAATACCCAATATCATATATACCTCATACGCTTTTACAATGGGATACACCAGACCTAGACTTTCCCCCAATCCCTTTCTTGCAGGAGTCTTTTTCTCTCTTCATGTCTGCAAGTTTGTTCCTCATGCTTGCAATAGATTTTCCCGTGTCAGCAGTTAATTTTTCCCCAAATACCTGCAAGTCATTATTTTGCCAAGCCTGCAGGAGTCTTTTCCCCTGTGCCTGCAGGTGATAGTGGATTCTGGAATCACTTGAGAAATGTCTTTGTAGCTTACCTTTGGTACTTTGGCATAGCGGCCTGTGCGCGTGTCCCGAATGAAGGACATGTCCAGATAATCCATGTCCTGTTAATAAAAGCAAATAAATCTTAGTCACCAAAGTTCTTTAACACATGTAATATCATAACGTACTCTTAGTCACCAAAAATCTTTAACACACATAAAAAAATCTTGGTTACCAAGGAAAAATCACCAATGGTCTCCATCAGTCATACATATAGAACCATCTTATGTAAAAAAATCTTTACAATTGTAAAATATTGTTCAAATTGATTTTAATTACAAAATTCGAGTTTCAATTTGCCATAATTAACAGATTACGTTGCTTTTGAAAACTTCTTTCTTTTGAATTCAAAGAAACACTTGTAATAGCTTCAGTGTTTAAGATGCACATATAAACACACACTTGTGACACTACAGCTACATCATTGAAAACATTGAAAGACAAAAATGTCCATGTCATGTTCTGTCTGCAAAAAACAGCAAGAAAGAGTGCATTGTATACATACGGAATAACGGTGCCAAAACACATACTTCAAAACAAAACTAATATCATAATACTCTCTTGCAACTCGTGATATTTTAGATCACTTAATTTCCAGAAAATGCAAGATCTCAACAGTTGAATATCCTATGCATTACTGATGAAAAGTTTATGCATGGCAAACCAAATTTATCAAGTTCATGAGGTTTTGATAAATAGGCCAATTAAAAACAATTTAAACAAAAGATGTTTCACTTTACTTTAACAGGACATCTTGATACAAGCTTGCTGCTGGTGAAATTACAACATTAAGTTCAATATGAATTTAAATCATAAAATGATTAAGTGATCTATAATAGGTAACAACACAATATAATGTCCCTAGCTCAGCCATTGTTTTACATGTATAATGCAAAACAATGCCCTTTTATTGTTTACATTATAGGCATCAGTTTCTGCGCCCTTAGGAAGCAACCGCTTTTTCATACTGATATCAACAGAAAACCATTGAAATTTCTGATGACTGTCATAGACATGTGTACAATCATCAAATGGAAACAGAAACCAAGCAACTGAAAACTACATTTTTTTTTTAAACTTTCAAAAATATTTCAGCAAATTTCACCTGCCGGAAGTACCTGTCATATGTTTCTGTGCAGCAGTTTTGTTTCAGTGTTCAAAGATAGACAACTTGAATACACTAAAAAGGAATTCTTCATAGTTGCCTAAGCGCAGACAAATGCTTCGCTGGTCAAATTAATTATCAAAACAAGTTTCTGGGTCATGAATGAAATATATTACTGTTTTTTTCAGGTATGGGTTCATTTTTAGCAATATAAAAGTGATCCAACCACTATGTATGGGAACTTGTTTCAAAAGGAACATCCTAATTAATTCATTAATTACTAATTTTTGGGAGGACCAAGGTTAAACAACATTTAAGCAGGGTCCTTAAAACCATATTTTTATATATCAGATATATAGACATGTAAGACAAGGAGGAACCAAAATGATTTCAGTGCACTGAGTGGAAGTGTTATTGTAAGGCAAAACTCCATCATAAGTAGTAAAATCAAAACAAATCTTCCATAATAGCAAAGGCACTGCATTGTGGTTCAATAGGCTTCAATTAATGCAAATATAAAACAGCATTATGTAATAAATTTTATTGTCATACACAACACTTTCATATAAAGAAAAAACAATGATTATAGGCTGGATTGAAAGATTAACAATTTACTCATGTTACGCTTATAAAGACATGTTAATTATTAGTAATCAGGGATCAATCTAGACTTGATTCACTACCGTTTATGAGTAGTTTCCCCTACAGAAGAAAATTTCCCTGTTTTTAAAAATTCCCCCTATGTGCTTCAAAATTCCCCTATTTCAACAAGAAAATAGCAGTTTTTCCTCAAAATGTTTCCCTATATAAGTTTTCTTTCAAGTTCAACAGTTAAAATGCATAATACTGCATATAAACATTTTCTTTACATAATTTATATAAAAAAATTAAGCTTAAAATTATTATAAATTGAAATATACTGCATACATGTATGTCAGACAAAACATTTATCTTTTACCTTCATGATGGTAGAGCCTTGTATAAAAATGTTAATTCCCCAAAATCTGAAAAAGGATAGTTTCCCCTAAAACCTAGATTGATCCCTGGTAAAACAGTTTGAGGTAACACTCAATAAGAGACGTCACAGAGAAATAATGATAATACACTTACACCCAAAATGGTAACCAAGTTTTTTTGTTTTTTTTTACTAACGCCCAAAATGGTAACCAAGGAAATAGTGTTTTTTTTCACTAATATAGTGTTTTTTAACTAACACCCAAAACAGTAACCGTGGAAGTAGAGTGATCTTCCAATGCAGTACTGCCAACACAATAACCTTCATAGCTGTGACCTTCAACTTGTAACTACCAAAATGGTGACCAGACATCCTTTAGTTACCATAGCGACAAAATTATCTGGATTAACAAGAAGAGATATTTAGCACCATATTTCAAAGAAATCCTTTTGTCCATGACAACATAATGACCATTGGAGAATGGAACATTTAAAAATAGAGTTAGAGCTAAAGAGCACAGGTTATATAACTTTCACACTTAAGGATTATCTAGTATTCCTACTGCTGTACATAATCTGGGAAGCTAGATGACATTACAAGTTATCGATATAACTCTTCGCTGAAAAGCTTTAAAAAAATAAAAGATAAAAAAAGCAAAACACTTGTTTACTACTTATTAGTCAAGCTGATTACCTTCTTAAAAACAAAATATGCCACAACATAAGCTACATGTGTATGATATAGGCACTTTGAAAAGAATTAAACATGAAGATTAAATTTAAATACCAATTTATAACCACTTGTATGTATGTTAAGTGTTAAGTGACATGTTACTGATGATAAAAACTATACCGGAGACAACTAATATCTAGACACAATTGTTTAAATATGTACACTATTCCCCGCACAAATGTCCAACAAATCTCATAGGTCCTTATTATAATATCGTACCTCACATACAGAACAATTTTGCAAATAATATCTTGTGTTCTTAAGAAAACACTGTCCATTAAATGTACATAACCTGCTTAGTATTACTTGGTATTTTACATAATGGCAGTCTCCAAATCAAAGGTGTTGAAATTTATATATATATATATATACCATACCATGTCTTCCATTGAATCTCCAGCTATTGTTCTGTTCAAAATCCTAAATCAGGCAAATATTATCTTCAAAATGTTTCTTAATATTAATCTTGATGGAATGGGTAGTGTCATTTTGCAAATGTAATGTATTTAGGTCAAAATTTAAATAAAAATATCTTCAAGTTCCCGACAGGACAAATCTAGCACTAAAAAATATAGTAGATGTATGATGACAGCATCTGTAACATGGTTCTTGAGGCAGATGTTAGTATATACCATGGACATGGGTACCTGATGCTTGATATAGCAAATAACACAACACACAAATTATACCAGTAGCATATAGAAGAGGATACTAAGAGATTTCCTCTAATTAGTCCTAACGTTTCTATCAAATGTTGTCTGCAAGAGTAGTTAAAGAGACTAAAAACAGAGAAAATGATCACCTTAAAATGAGTCGTTCCATGGACTGAAGAAATTAGGGATTGGATGATATTGTTTCTGCCCAATCTGAGTCTTCAGACTAAAATTACTTGAATTAATTTTCCGAGTATATTTAGAAATGTGAATTGGATGAGGTGAGGTGTAGTCTAAACATAGCTTATACAAATAAACTTCTTCTCAAGAAAGATTTTTCGTTTTGTAGCATTATTGTAAGAGAAAATTGAAAATATTAAGAAAAAAAGATGTCAGAATATTGGCAGTAGCTGGGAAATGGTTATTGGACAATACATATTCTGTATAGACGGACTACTCTTATGTACATGAAATCTTTATAAAATAGCATGACGAGCGGTACTCAGTGGCACTACAATAGAATATGTATTGTACCAAAAACCTCCACCATTTCCTCAGTACTCTCCAGCATTGAGACGGGTTATTGGTAAAAAGCACTCTGTGTATTAATACTACATAATTACGTTGTCATACCGCCACAGTCACGGATGGCTTCCTGCCCGTACATTGGCCCTGTATTACAAAGAAAACCAACCTATCAACATACAAATCTAAAAGTACCCACCATTTAACACAATAACAAAATAGCGAGCAGCAACAGCATCTGCCCTTTTAACAGGAGAGGACCCCAACTCCTCATGGAGAAAGGCAACCTTCCTGGAATCTATTCAACCAATCAATGGCAGAACAGGTTTCTCAAAAAGAAGCAGCTTTGCTCAGAAAACAAACTTTTTTTTATTTTTTTATTTAACGATAAAAGGAAGGTAACGCACAATTTAGGTAGCTAGAACATTAAAAGCTATTTTGTTAAATACAAGAAACGTCTGTATAGTTGAAATATTTATATACAAGTTTGGTTCCAGTGCTGAAGATATACAGAATAAAACAGATACTATAGGAACAGCTAGGACTTCTAAACATGATTTCATCTCCGACAATTCTTACTCTACAACATGTAGTTGCAGACTCATGACCTTAAGCAAGGACGTTATTCAGATTGGTTTTCATATTTAACTCAAGTTAGCGATAACAATGTGTCAACAATATTACACAATGTCAACAACAACCTTATAGAATTTCCTTTTAGTATAAAGCTGAATCATGATCTTATTTCCTTTTCCGTAAGTATTCCTCTATTTAGACTTATTACAGACTGAATTCGCGGGTACGTAGAATTCATCATGGACAAGTTTTGCTGGATTTATCTGGTGCTGCCCATCAGCCTGACTTTTGACTGAATGTATGCATGATTTCAGACCCGAATGATAAAGTCTGTGTACAGGAAATTATCAATTTTGAGGGCTATTCATCAGGCCAGCATGCTCAGCAAACATGATCAATACGACCTAATTGTGAAATGTGACTGGCCGCCAATGTGAGTGTCCCACAAACGTGGTCAGCAGTATTCATCACAGACAACATATCTATAAGGTCACCACAATATCAAAAAGTGCTATGGGACACTTTGTTAGGGCCGTATCACTGGCAATGGTATGTTCTCCGCACTAATATGGCGGCCCCTGGGACAGACCATTGACCGGGAATATAGCATACGGCTTTAGTAATGAGGGCCACTCCATCCCATCTATAAACCTCAGTGAAAGAGGTAGCCTGTGTATCAGAGGAGATCCTGACCACAAAATAAGAATTACTGCCTGTTTTCTAAGAAAACCATCATGACAATGTGCATACGTGCGACACCTCCAAATAACGGTTTGTTTAACACCTGCATATAACACTCAAATGAAATTATCTCTTGTTACAGACTGAATGCAAGATACTTTAAGCCTTCCCCTTGTTTGCTATATTGAGCCTGTATGTAAGATTGTCTACTGAAACATTGTGTTAACAGACTGTATGTAAGATTGTCTACTGCAACATTGTGTTAACAGACTGTATGTAAGATTGTCTACTACAAAGATTGTCTACTGCAACCTTGTGTTTACAGCCTGCATGTAAGACTCACTACCACAACCTTGTGTTTACAGCCTGCATGTAAAACATTCTACCCCAACCTTGTGTTTACAGCCTGCATGTAAAACATTCTACCCCAGCCTTGTGTTTACAGCCTGCATGTAAGACTCGCTACCCCATCCTTGTGTTTACAGCCTGCATGTAAAACATTCTACCCCAACCTTGTGTTTACAGCCTGTATGCAAGTCATTTTACCTGTAAATTGTGCTTTCAATTTAAACTTTATTTTACTGAAACACAAACAACTGTTTTCAAATGTCTAATCTTGGCAATGTGGTCTTAAATTGCCATCAGATAAATTGTATGATGGACAGACATTAGACAAACACACACACACACACACAAATAGGCAAATGGACACACAACCAGACAAATGGACAAACAAGTGAGAAATTTGCTCTATTTTCAGCATATGATTATGATTTAAGTTGTGAAAGTGAAACAGTATCCTAGATGACCTATAATGTGGTACAACAGGTTGACATCATTATATCATTTGCTAGCTAACTCCCCCGTGTTTACAGGTATATAGTTGCTAACTCCCCCGTGTTTCAGGTATACACCAGACATGCTCTGTGCAGTGTAATATAAGGAGGCGAGGTGGTCATCGCTCATTCCAGGTGCTAATATGCTGACAAACCCTAAATAGGAGTCAAACTGGTAAATTATATATACATATATCATACAGGTAAATCAAATACGTAAATTTAACAGGTAGTGGAAACAAACAATGATAGGTGTTTTTGTATTTATGACGTAATAATCATATTATATGTTTGTTGAGCTGAAATTTATGGGGGCAGTAAAAGTATAAATTGCACATTAAAATAGTAAGTAAAATAAAATAAAAAAATTGAATGATATATGTGATGCATCATATTGCAATTTTTATCTTAATCATAAATCACCTTATCCTCCACCCCACCCACACATCCTAATATAGCTCTGAGATTTAGACAGTAATGACGATAAACACAATTCTTACAATCTTTCATCTGGATCAAGAAAAAATCATTCGCAAATAATTTATCTTTAATGGTCTTGCTATATATGTAAACATGGAGAGAATCCATGGTTATGAATGCTTTCAAAAATTGTCTCCAGAGTTTGAAATTCTAAGATGTATCACTATATCCATGGTTACAGATTATTTTTATATATCACTATAAATATTAAGACATCATTTAAATGAAAATGATCTAGAAATTGTTTGAATATCTAACCAATTTCATCACTGCAACCTTGAACTAAGATCACTTGTATTGCAGTGAATTTGATGGTTACGGGAATTACCATGAATCACAAGATAGTACAGAGACCTTGTGATGTGTACCACTCGCAGATGTGGGAATCTCTAGTCTAATCTCAAAACTCATCATCAACATTTAATACATTTATAATCTAACATGCAGGCAGGACATTCCTGACTTTGAACAGCTATTGTAATGCACAACGTACAAAGGCTAGTCTATGGTTAACAACAGGTGGGACTTCTAACATTACTCATCCGTATGGTGGATGGGGACTCAACATGAAATCATAATATTTGTTTTTTAAACCATAAAATTAAACATCAAAGAAACTGTTGTGATGCAACATGCATGACCTGTGTATAAAATAATCATTAAAACTGAAAATTAAAATTAAATACAATCAATGTTCCTGGAATCCATGCAGCACCACCCAGCTAATACTTACAGTGCCCTCTGTACTCGTCTGAAAATTAGTCGTACAGAGTAAGGTTTGATGAACAGAACTACAGTGAAACCTGACTTTACCGACCAACATCAATGGAAGCATGAATATTTTGGTCAGTTATGACAATGCGTCAGTAAACTTGCGTTATGACTGGGTGTCGGTACACTGACATCATAGGAGACTGACATATTTGTTCACATACAACGTTTATATATGATTGTGTTTTTAAAACCAAAGCTTAAAATGATCATGTATTCTACAATGATATTAAACAATGTCCTTAAACTCAGGTGTCGGTAAAACCAGGTTTCACTGTACAGAGTATACAGATATTATAGACAGATGTCATAGAGTTGTTCTTTATATTGTTTCATATATATACAGAGTCAAAAAAGAAACACACAGTATACGCAGTAAACCTTTGTGTATATCTTTAATATACTTAACTCAATATTGAATTTGCACAGGTAGTGTCATGGACTCATTTAAAATAATTTTTCTTCATTGATTTACATGAATAAATTTCTTATAAAGGCAAAACATATCTGTAATATGCAAATGTTTTGGAAACATTGTACATACTACAGATGCAGCTGGGAAATTCTTCATAAAAAACTTAGGGGCTGGTAGGTAGTCTACAAATGTAGCTGTGTACATGTATATCTTTTTTGGTTAAGTATAAATAGCTGATGGTCAGAGAGAGAAAATATAGGTATTGAAAACTTCTGAAAAGTGGTCCTGATATCAGTCGTTGTTTGTGTATAAATGGGTGGTCAGATGTAAATGAATTGTCAGGGGTATCAAAAAAGTTCCTACCTCTAACATGAGGCCCAATTGGCCTGTATTGCTCACCTGTTGTTCAATGCTGTTCACAAACACATCTAACATATGCGACCTTCAAAGTCATTTGAGGTATAACTTATTTAAACAAACTGATAGTAATCAAGCTAACACAGCATCATTGTTTTACACCATATGTCTTTGTAGGAAGATTTCAACTCGCTTTGTCAGGTCTTTGTTGGCCAAGAACATGGATTGGAATAAAATTATAACGTATCACCTTAAAACAGAAATGACTGGTTAAAGTTTCTTTCTATTCCTCAGAAGAAGTTGTTTGAACTTTTGAACAACTTTGACCACTGTGACCTAGAATATGGGTCAAGGAATTCTTTTTCACAAACTTTCCATACCAGCAAGATTCTAGCTAAATATCACGACCCTAGGTCTTTCAGTTCTAACAAATTTGATCCATGACCTTGAGTATAAGTCAAGGTCCATCCTATTCAGTTCATAAAAAGAAGTCTTTTGATTATTTTTTTAACATATCTGACCCTGTGACCTTGAATGGATATCAAAGTAATCTTGCTAAACTTGTTTGGGTTCTAGCCAAATATCATGACCCTATGCTCTATGGTTCTAAAGAGGTTGATTAAAGAAAAGCCTCCTCACTTGAAACAATTAATGAATCCCACACAATTAAAACATTTGAGAGTAATGCTAAAATCTAAGAATATATACAGTTAGGGTAAGAAAGTTTTCAGAGTCAAGAAGTTTCCTGATACCTGACCTGGAGATATCTACAGATAGAGTTAACAGCACCAGTGAGAGAGCTTGTCTGGGTAAGTCAGGTTACTACCAGGATGTTGAATTATCTGTTGCCATCTACAGATGTGTTGTAATTTATATCGAAACGTCCAGAATGAAGGAATTCAGATTCGTAAATAATTCGTTTTCTTGTGCTTATTAATAGATATTTAGGTTTTGACTCAAAATACAGGTATACATCATAATTATATAACTTCCTGATATTTTTTCCTTTTTGAAAGTCATCCATTCAAACTAATTCTGGATGTGTTAATACTATTTAATCCTTCTTAATGTTATATTTGAGGAAATAGAACCGCTAACATAGCCATAGTGTGCACTGTAGTTCACTAGAGTAATGCATCAGAGAAGTACTTTAACAAAATCGTCCCTAAAGTCACATTTGAATCTTACCAAATCAAAGAGTGGGCAAGTCCATTTAAAAAATGTAGGGGTGAATGAGTTAAGAGTAATACATCCAAGTTCTTGACGGTGTGTTAGATTATGTCTAAAAACTGTTTTTCAGTGTAGTACATAAGGATCCGTGTTTATGAAACAAATCCCCTGCTCATACTCTGATTCTGTGCTCAAGCCAAAATGTATGTTCCCCTGATAAATTAATAGAAACTTCATATTTTGTCAATGACTTTGAAGAATTTTGAAAGACTAAAAACTGAATACTGTTTGAAATTTTTACATTTGACTTTAGACAATGTTATCTATTTAAAGTATGTTTTCAAAAAATTTGGCTTAAGCATAGAATCCAGGCTCCAGATTTCCATGAGTGATGCATAAAAATAAAATAAATTTTAAGAATTTGAGTACCGCTAATAATCATGAGGCCATCAAGAGAAAAGTACAATTATCAAATGAGATCTTTTAACTATTGACTAAATAACAGAGGTGTTCATTGGCTACAATACTCTACAGCAAGGTCTTTGATTGGCTGCAGGGCTCTATGTTGGAATCCAATCTAGAATATCAACATTTGATGTTCAAATTGTAGACAATTGAACACACCAATACTGTAGAATTGCACTACAGATCCAAACAACTTCAGTGTAGAAACGTTCTAGGTGACAAATCTCCTTAAAACTTATCTTATTTCTGTTCTACATTCATCCACTAACATTTGTTATGCCCGAAATGAATTCCAAAGTAATTATTCTCCATGTAACTTTAGAAATTACTTTGAAACCTAACAGGAGATATTTTTTATTCATTCAAAATGAAATTGGAAGGAAAGACCCTCACTTGAACAGACAAGAGAACGGTCAATTAAATTGATTTCAGGAGATGCCTGGATCTTTATTGATGTGTGTTTATTTCATTTCACAGTTTCCACTTTGCAGCATATGCCTGCTCAGTATGTTTGATTGTAGGAGCAATCCCCATCTATCTCAATATACTATACCAACTAAAGAGTCCCTCATCCTCAGCCCAACGCAGTTAACTCTTCAACAAAGAAACTGTACCTACCGCATGTTAATAAATCTATATAACAATTGTAGTATCTAATTAACACGTTTGGTAAGATAGATTATTAATTTCACCTGTCCTTTATCAAACCCCCTTACCTTCATTTTGTTAGCATAATTAAGCCTCATTCTTTAGACTTTAGATGTAACATCCTCCATCTACAGACTATTTAAAAAAAAAACTATTCTTTCATAATGAAGTCATTTCTTGATCCAAGCACCTTCAGATACCAAAGACTGACCTCCTGACTCTAGATACCAAAGACTGACCTCCTGACCTCCTGACTCTAGATACCAAAGACTGACCTCCTGACCCTACATGCCAAAGACTGACCTCCTGACTCTAGATACCAAAGACTGACCTCCTGACCCTAAATACCAAAAACTTACCTCCTGACCCTACATGCCAAAGACTGACCTCCTGACCCTAGATACCAAAGACTGACCTCCTGACCCTAACAACAAATTAATTCATTATATATTTTGTTCGTTCTACAAAACATTTCCCTCCAACTTGAGAAAATATATTCAATTCAAAATTGTTTTTAGGAATAGCATTTTGAGCTATATTGCTTGTCAAAGAAGCTGTAGATCTAAGTCAATTGTAGGCCTGAAGCATCAGGTATGTGTCCTATTCCCACGATACCATATTCAACTAAGTGGCTTTTTGTTTTATAAATTGTAATCAGTAAATCATGACCAGATATAACACTAAGGTTTGGTAACCTTTTTTTAGGCCTTTCTCATGATTTTTGTAACGTCGTAGGATGGAATGTTTAAATAAAATTACATTTGGCTTTTTTATCTGCGTTAGTCTACTGTTACCCCTTAATGTATGTATATATTGCATGTTTAAGGTACATTTGGTGTATTTGACATAGGTCCCACCACTGTAATCCCCTACATGTATGTACCTCTGTATAGTGTAGTGTTACATCTGATGTTCTATTGTCAAAACAAACCAGTCTTCAAATTGATAACAAGATTAAATGCATTTTCTTAAATGTACAATGTCAGTTGTTTTTTCCAGTATGAGTGTGTCGTGTCTGCTCCTTCACTTATTGTCAAAATATATTGGTACTTGTAATAAATACATATAACAGCTAAAATAAACACAAGGATGACTTCGTCATTACATGTAACATTTTATATAAAGATTGTTTCCGATTATAACAAAAAAAGTTCATAAGCCACCAAAGAATATTCTCAGGAGATGTATTTACAGATTATGTCTACAGGAAGTGTAAACACAGGTAAGTACATGGGGATAAGTGTTCCCTAGAATACCTTGTTCTGGTCTTTCCAATACAGGATGTATCCCTTGGGATCCACCTTGAGGGTGACCGGCGTTCCAATCGTAGAGCTCTGAAAAATACAAATATAACAGTTTATTAAAATATTTAAATCTAATCGTAGAGCTCTGAAAAAAACAAATACAACAGTTCATCCAAATATTTAAATCTAAATGATTGCAAGATTCAATCAAAGGTTGTTCTAGAGTGTAACATGCTTTCATCCCTTCTGCCTTTGCAGTATAAATTGTCTAAAGAAATAGGAATGGGCAATCCTTCCTGCCAATGTGTTAGAAACCGTCTTAAAAGGAATAGGTCCTCCCTTCTGTCAATACAGTAAAAAATGTCTTCAAAAGAACAGGTCAGCTCCTCTTCTGCCAATTCAGTTAAATCCGTCTTTAATTAGGAGAAACAGATCATCCCTTTTATTAATTCAACAGAAAATGTCTTGGGTCATCCATTCTGTCACAACATATACAAGAAAGTACCTTTCTAGATAGATCATTCTTTCTTCAAATCAACTGCCAATAAAAAGTGGTCTCTCAGAATGGATCGTCTTTATTCACAGATTCAATTTGCTTTAAATTAAATCAATATGTTAAAGTGGTCTTTCTAAAGAGGTATACAGAAAGGAAATGGTGTATGCCCCGATTCGGCAGCCATAAAAAGCAGAAACAAGACTATTTAATTTGCTATAGTGGAACATCTTAAAAGTCCAGTTTACTTGAAACCAGAGGCTTACATGTAGGAACTAACTTTCAAAATAGTGGAAAAGTTTCCTAAAGAACAATGTTCTATTCCTGAAGCCATTGTGTTTGAACTTAAGACTTTCTGTTGTTCATATCAGAATAATACACCTAGAACCAAAACAACACTTCAAAATAACTGTTTCTTATTAATTCCATGAACAGCTAGCAAAACTGAATTCTCCTACATCTCATGTTTGGTGTTATATCATTTTTTATTTTTATTTAACTACCATTTTCATCAATTTTGGAACTGAATGTATTTTTATTTCTGATAATCTAATACAGTCCTTGAATCTTTGACATATATAGATGCATGTGCAGTGTGTAGTCTCCCGAGATGGCTTCAACTCCAATACACTAAGAGAGACACAGGTCTTGGTATTCTAAACATATATACAAAGTTTATTCTGTGATCTCAATTGCAGACATATTCAAAGCCTCAGGTCCCTTAGACTCACAATTTATAACGTTATTAAGATTTTTTTCATGCTCCAATGAAATTCCTTTGTTCTGGCATTAAATGAGACTAAAATTGATAGGAGTGTTGCCTGTCCCAGCCATACCCCACGCTCCATGTATACCCCACAGTGTGCCATTCAGGAGCATGCCAATACTTCCTGCTTATATAACCTTAAAGGACGTGAAAACAGACAGAAGGTGGTTTGTTCATTGTAAATGTGTTTCTATGGCATCCTGTTTTAAACGATGGAAACCTCTTCACATTGAGATCTGTATTTTCCTCAGGGCTGTATTTATAATTCAACTAAAAACTTATTACTCTAAAATGCAACAATTGAAGCAATACATATGTTTTGAATGCCGGCTGTTTTATGAATCCCCTGGGTGCTGCTAGTTTAGGAAGGAGTTGTTAGTTAAGCTTTGGATGTAGAACAGCCAGCCCTCACAGCTACTACTGGATCCAGCTGATATATATAGTACACAGCACATCAATACTACTCCATACAGCACACGGGTCTCCTGCCTATTGTCACAACTTAAACCCCAAATAAACTTTTATACACTCGTCATGTCAGTAACTTGTATCTTTCTAGTCATGTCAGTTACTTGTATTCATTCTAGTCATGTCAGTAACTTGTATTCTTTCTAGTCATGTCAGTAACTTGTATTCTTTCTAGTCATGTCAGTAACTTGTATTCTTTCTAGTCATGTCAGTAACTTGTATTCTTTCTAGTCATGTCAGTAACTTGTATTCTTTCTAGTCATGTCAGTAACTTGTATTCTTTCTAGTCATGTCAGTAACTTGTATTCTTTCTAGTCATGTCAGTAACTTGTATTCTTTCTAGTCATGTCAGTAACTTGTATTCTTTCTAGTCATGTCAGTAACTTGTATTCTTTCTAGTCATGTCAGTAACTTGTATTCTTTCTAGTCATGTCAGTAACTTGTATTCTTTCTAGTCATGTCAGTAACTTGTATTCTTTCTAGTCATGTCAGTAACTTGTATTCTTTCTAGTCATGTCAGTAACTTGTATTCTTTCTAGTCATGTCAGTAACTTGTATTCTTTCTAGTCATGTCAGTAACTTGTATTCTTTCTAGTCATGTCAGTAACTTGTATTCTTTCTAGTCATGTCAGTAACTTGTATTCTTTCTAGTCATGTCAGTAACTTGTATTCTTTCTAGTCATGTCAGTAACTTGTATTCTTTCTAGTCATGTCAGTAACTTGTATTCTTTCTAGTCATGTCAGTAACTTGTATTCTTTCTAGTCATGTCAGTAACTTGTATTCTTTCTAGTCATGTCAGTAACTTGTATTCTTTCTAGTCATGTCAGTAACTTGTATTCTTTCTAGTCATGTCAGTAACTTGTATTCTTTCTAGTCATGTCAGTAACTTGTATTCTTTCTAGTCATGTCAGTAACTTGTATTCTTTCTAGTCATGTCAGTAACTTGTATTCTTTCTAGTCATGTCAGTAACTTGTATTCTTTCTAGTCATGTCAGTAACTTGTATTCTTTCTAGTCATGTCAGTAACTTGTATTCTTTCTAGTCATGTCAGTAACTTGTATTCTTTCTAGTCATGTCAGTAACTTGTATTCTTTCTAGTCATGTCAGTAACTTGTATTCTTTCTAGTCATGTCAGTAACTTGTATTCTTTCTAGTCATGTCAGTAACTTGTATTCTTTCTAGTCATGTCAGTAACTTGTATTCTTTCTAGTCATGTCAGTAACTTGTATTCTTTCTAGTCATGTCAGTAACTTGTATTCTTTCTAGTCATGTCAGTAACTTGTATTCTTTCTAGTCATGTCAGTAACTTGTATTCTTTCTAGTCATGTCAGTAACTTGTATTCTTTCTAGTCATGTCAGTAACTTGTATTCTTTCTAGTCATGTCAGTAACTTGTATTCTTTCTAGTCATGTCAGTAACTTGTATTCTTTCTAGTCATGTCAGTAACTTGTATTCTTTCTAGTCATGTCAGTAACTTGTATTCTTTCTAGTCATGTCAGTAACTTGTATTCTTTCTAGTCATGTCAGTAACTTGTATTCTTTCTAGTCATGTCAGTAACTTGTATTCTTTCTAGTCATGTCAGTAACTTGTATTCTTTCTAGTCATGTCAGTAACTTGTATTCTTTCTAGTCATGTCAGTAACTTGTATTCTTTCTAGTCATGTCAGTAACTTGTATTCTTTCTAGTCATGTCAGTAACTTGTATTCTTTCTAGTTATGTCAGTAACTTGTATTCTTTCTGGTCATGTCAGTAACTTTGTATTCTTTCAAGTCATGTCAGTAACTTGTATTCATTCTAGTCATGTCAGTAACTTGTATTCTTTCTAGTTATGTCAGTAACTTGTATTCTTTCAAGTCATGTCAGTACCTTGTATTCTTTCTTTTCTTTCTTATATTCTTTCAGTCAAATTCACTATAGGGTAAGACTTTCACAATACCCTATGACCTTGGACTCGTTTAAATAAATCAGTATGCTTATTCTAAACCAGTCAAGGTCACGACACCATATAAGACCTTGGATTCAACTGAATAAACTTATATGATAACACTATACCAGTCAATAACAATACCATTTACCTTAGATTTTAATAAATGTGCATGGTTATTCTCTACCATTCAAAGTTGCAATAACATAAGGCATGACACAATTAAATTGGTCCATATAATTATTCTATACCAGTCAAAGTCACAATACCCTATGACCTTTAACTCATTTGAATAAATCTTTATGATTATTCTATACCAGTAAGTTGTGCTATCATTTGACCTTCATGTAATGGATTTGACTTTGAACACAATTGATGTTGCCATGCCAATGACAATTTAATTGATGGCTTATGAGGATTTATGGTTAAAAGAGGAGACATAAGAAATCAATTGAAGAGAAAGCTCTTTGAAAATAGAATGTTAGAACAGCTTTTGGTTAAAATGCAGAGTCAAGAAAATATAAAAAGCTGGATAGGGAATATGGATCCTTTGCATATTTTGCATATAATATAACGCCAGAAAGGAACAAGAGTTATTAAGGCACAGATCTGTGCCAATAGCAGCTCGAGATAAGACACACACCAGCAATTCCCAAGTTATGCAATGGACACACACAGTAAATGACACTGGGTATTATGGACACAATTTTCTCAATAGAATGGTCACAATATTGCTTTTAGAAACAAATATCCAAGTTTACAATGCTCAATCATATGGACTCTTATGTCCAAGCCTAACATGATTATAGAGACAGATATCCTAGTATTAATCAGTGTTCATGTTCACAAACATCCAAGTACATAATGATCCTGGACACAAAAAGATCTATATATGTATAAACAATCATGGACGAAACATTAAATCTGTTCGTGTGTCATTTTGGTTTCTAATCATTGGAATGTTTCTGTGTTGTTTTGTTTGTGACCAGTGGAGTGTTGCTGTGTTGTTTGTGACAAGTGGAGTGTATCTGTGTTGTTTTGTTTGTGACCAGGAGTGTATCTGTGTTGTTTTTTTTGTGACCAGTGGAGTGTTCCTGTGTTGTTTGTGACAAGTGGAGTGGATCTGTGTTGTTTTGTTTGTGACCAGCGGAATGTTTCTGTGTTGTTTTGTTTGTGACCAGTGGAGGGTATCTGTGTTGTTTTGATTGTGACCAGTGGAGTGTTCCTATGTTGTTTTGTTTGTGACCAGTGGAGGGTATCTGTGTTGTTTTGATTGTGACCAGTGGAGTGTATCTGTGTTGTTTTGATTGTGACCAGTGGAGTGTTCCTATGTTGTTTTGTTTGTGACCAGTGGAGTGTCTCTGTGTTGTTTTGCTTGTGACCAGTGGAGTGTATATGTATTGTTTTGTTTGTGACCAGTGGAGTGTTCCTGCGTTG